TTAAAGTCTAATATCCAACAAATTATATAATTTAACTAAACACTTAACGGCCGTCTAGGTCAAATCAAACTTAATGCCTAATTAGACTTATGATGTACTTGCAATTTTAAGTTTTATTTCTATTCCATGATAATAATTTGCATGCAATTCACAAAAAAAGTATCTTTTAAATAGAAGAAATATTGTTGGCGAGTGTCATAGTAGCTAAAATAGAGGAAAATCATGATTTTCGCTCTGAAGCGCCAAAGAGATTCATACAAAAATAAAACTACACTTACTCGGAAATAATGCAAGAGTAAAGCTGAATTTTGTTGCTTGTTTCTATTTATTTATTTTATGTTACATGTGCAATACTGTGTACTACTTCGGAAATGAAATTCCTTGACTGTGCCATCTAGGTATTCAAAAAGCATTAATATTGTTAGAAAAGTTGGCTCTCATATAAAAGGCACGGCACTAATGTTTGTATAAATCGTACTTACCTGGCCTGCCTCGGCATCCAGTACATTAGGTGTTTTGAATGCGCAGCCAAATTGACTCCATTAAAAGTTTTGAAAGCGCTCGTAGCTTAGATAATTTACTGAGAGAGTTATGCCGTCTATAAAAGCATACGTGGGTACTGAAAACTAATGAATTTATGTTTGTGTTTATATTTTCGACCTTAATTTTGTTAAGTGGCGCTAAATATTTTAGGCGGTATGTTAATACGTACGCATAGGTATTAGCTATCGATATACATTCGAAATAGTATAGAACTTTAGTATCTAACCCAAACGATTGTCGTTGAAACAGTTAATGGGTACTCAAAGTTTATATCCAATCGCTTAAAACGATACTTATGTTGGCATTCATTGGTCATATTTTAAGCAATATATAGGGTATATAACAGACGCTGTAAAAGAATATGCGACTGCAGCAAAAGGTTAAACGAATAATGAAATATGACTTTCCGCTCTTCGTATTAACCCACTTGAAAATAACATTCGCACCATAATACAATCACACAAATTAAGTACTATTTAATAACTTGATTACCAGTTTATCATTTTATCGGCTTCGTGGTCGATTCGCACATTTTTTTTCGCAGACATTTTAAATTAACATTTATTTAGTGGTTGATATTGCCGCATATTAGCGGTAACATAAACATCCTTCCATCCATCCAAACTTTGACATTGACAATCAGATTAACCTCCTTTCTTAGGAGAGGTCTATGTCCAGCAGTGGACTATTAAAGAATTGATGATAATGAATCAGATTAAACATGGTAGGCAGCGGCTCTGGCATTGCTGAAATCAATTGCATGATTTTAATTTTGCATACTTAGTACAACACGTATAACGAAGAATAAAATTCATTTAAAATACCTCATAAGAGTAGAAGTACTAAACTAAAACCCTGACACTAATAGATGTAATCAGGTAGAGATAGAAGCTAAGCAAGAGAAGCAGTTTCAGTCCCATGATTTCACAGTCATATCACATCGTGGGAAAGCCGTGCTTCGGCATAAATGGCTCGTACATAGTGGTGCCACGGCCTCACAAAAAACAGCAGTCTTTCGTTACTTTGCGTCTATTGAATGAGTTTACAGGAAGCCCAACCCCACCCTCCCTTGATTGGGGTGTGGGGGAATCGCTTTAATTTTCCTTTACTATTCCATAATTAACAATTTGTATTTAATACTAGCTGTTTACATCGACGGTTCGATAAATGCGAAGTAATACTAACTGTTGATCTTATAGGAGGTAACAGGTAAAATGCAACGGTGACACAGGACGTTGTAATTAGCAAACGAGAAGCAATTACAACTTTAATAGGATTAGGTTCCTACGTAAATTCTACGTAGGTACCTACGTAGGTATTTGTAGTTCAATATTATATTGTGCCCTTGTTGGACGACGTTCTATAAACGGCCACACCGACCAAGAGTCAATCTAATTACATACTAAATTTCATGAAAATCGTTGGAGCCATTTCCGAGATTCAAATTATATATATAATAGGTCTTTACCTATGAAATTGTCCTTTTGTATGCAATAAGTGAAAGTACTTATTTTTTCAAACTATTTTATTTTTGTTATTCGAAGTAATCACCCATGCAATCGACGTATCTTTGCCAACGCATTGGCAGTTTATTGATGCCCTTCTTGTAAGAATCAGTTGGACGGGAGGCAACAGGTTAAGAGCAAAAAGCCAACATCACGTGGTATTCCCAGGCGGTCACCCATCCAAGTACTAACCACGCCCGATGTTGCTTAACTTCAGTGATCGGACGAGAACCGGTGTATTCAACATGGTATGGACGTTGGCGAACGTTAAAGCAAATTTAATGTATGGTATCCAAAGTTAGACGTCAATTTATATTAATAAAAAAGTGTCGTTCCAAATTTTCGTACGATTTTTTTCCGTCTAGCCCCTTTCACAACGCGCGATAAGGAACTTCGTTCCAAAAAGTTTGAAAAAATAAGTACTTTCACTTATTGCATACAAAACGGTAATTTCATAGGTAAAGACCTAATATATATCATTATCTTACACTATTAGCGCACTACAGACAGGCATATATACTCATTCATTCAAACATACACACACATTCACATACGCACAAAACATACTTTGAGGGGATACCTCAAAGTATGTTTTCTAGGCATGTTGTCTATTTCTTCTTTTCTTTTATTGTGGTTCGACATTGCGACCTAGGAGTAGGTTTAGAGAGTACGTCTTGCAAACGCATCAGCGCCCCTTATACCCCTCGCACCCACTTCCTCGGCATACAAAGCAACAAAACAACGATATTTAGTTATTTCGTTGGTTTGGTCAAAGTAGGTACTTGTTTCTTTTCAAAGCGGAAAATCACTATTATTGTCTTGAAACTCAAAATACAAAAAAAAATAACATGTTTGAAATTGATCTTAAACTGTCACAATAATTTTTATTTATTTATAAAATGAAATTTTATCACTGCTTCAAAATGTTACATATTACAAAAAGTTAATGTATAATATCCTATTTAGCAGACCAGAATGACAATAAATCAGACATTTAAATCAATGTTATTTAAAAAAAAATGTTTTTTCACACAGTGTAATTAGCAAAAAAATATGGTGTAGGTAAGTTTTATTACGACCCTATGACTTGGCTACGCTAGCTTTATGAACACATTTTTTTTTGCCATCAATTCATGTGTTTAAAAACCTTAAAAACTCAAGTATCGAAATGTTAGAAGCCAGTTATGAAAATAATAATGTTTGCAACATTTTTGAGATACACACTTTCCACATTTTAGAATTGATTAATGTTTTCAGTTAAATTGAAATGTGTGTATATACCTAAAGTAAAATTATTGCATAAAATGTAAAAAATATAAGATTTTTTTATAAAACACACCACAGAAAAAAAAACAGTTATATGTTATATTATAGCACGAAGACACTTCTTGAAAACGAATGGACAAAACATTAAGCAAAATGCCATCTTCTATTCATATCTAACATTTATATCACTCGTCGTTTCTATGTCAAATAAGAGATGGCGCTAACAATTGACTAGTGCTCCATCTGGTATCAATACCCTGAACTGTGAAGAATTGATGCACACAGATTTCTACCGTTGCAACGGTAGATTACTTTATTAATGCGTCTAATCAGTACAATCAAAATTAGTAATATGAACATATTTGTTTTAACTGCTAAATATACTGGTGAACTCATTCAGAAATATCGATTTAAATATAAATCATTTTTATGTAAATTTATATTTTATGCATGGCAAGTTTAAAAATGTTGGAATGCGTTTTGTTGACAACACTTGAACGTTCAGTTATTGCATTTTGTAACAATTTTTGTGAAGAATTTATTTACTTTTAGCGAAATTTTAAAAATACGATAATTACAAAAACATAGTAAGGATGATTCACTTTATAAATGGTACAAATCTCATAACCATCTATCACAAATCACTAGGTGTACGAAATCTGCCGTTCTCCTTTAAAATTTAGCAACACTGAGGAAAATTGATGAATGTCAATTGTCAAAGTCAAAACATTGTGTTGTTTGCTCAGTGTTGTCAATCTAATGGATTTTCCACTTTAACTGGTGGTTTCGAAACCCCTTTTTAGTAGCGAATTTCTGCTTTTAGTGGCTAGTGGATTTTTTTAGAGGTTTAGTAGTAATAGTAAGATTGTAGAGGACTCAAGCAATTCTGTTGAAAGAAGAACTCTGAGAACTGTTTGATAGGAAAGGAAGGATCCAATCCCCGGATGGAAGTGCTCAGGAAGAAAAAGATTATACATAGTAGGCAATGGGATGATGTAGGCTTTGTGCCAGAGAGAGAGAGAGAGAGAGGGAAAGGTTTCGGAGTCAATAAAGTGCTATAACTTGGAAAAAGTAAACCAGGATGGTAGCTAACATCTTACATCTTGCAAAACATTTCCTTACAACAGACAGATAGGATGATGTTTTTGTCCAAAGAAGGCATAGGAGAAAATTCAAAGTTGACAATATTGGGTTGGGCAAACTAGCGATATAATTCAGGGTCTGACTATGTTTCATGATCCCGTTGAATAGCAGAAGAAAAATGAAGATTGATATCATTTAAACCAAGAAAACTCTGTCCATTGTAATCTACCAATGCCCAACGTGTTAAGGAATTTCCACATACTAGAGGTGTTGCTCTTCAAAGATGCTCAAGGGGCCAATTTACAATTACTTTCTTTTTTAATGCCGATGTTGAGTTGAGAGACTATAGGTATAAACAGAGGAATAGAATGAAGTTAAATCTTTTATCTGCTATTTGAATTTTGTGCCTATTAGAGTAGGGTCGTTCTTAGTTAGTGGTTTTCTGGTGGTCTTAGATGTTGAATCTGGTGGAGAGCTCATTTAACTGTTGGCAACACTGTGCTTGCTTGCTATAAATCATTTTTCGCGGTCTATAAGAATAAACTAGCCTATGTATTAATATTTATTAATTTTTACATAAAATAATAGCACTGGGTGTTCAGAATGACTTACGGAAATGTACAAAGATTCTTTTTGCGGACCGTAGCAAGCCAAGGAGTTGTATCTCTGCATGAAATTAAAAAAATTCTGGAAACATTTACCGGTGGTACATATATTTTGATGTATACAATGTATAAAACTGTGTTTACGTCCCAATGATTACTAGGTTTTCTTTTTATAAAACCATTCAAATTAAATACTAGTCAGGTCTAGGGTTTCAAAAGTTTACTTCAAAATGTTATAGGTTTAAAAATTAATGTCTTACGCACTATTTTTAGGTAATGAGGAAATAAAAATTCCTGATATGGTGAAAGAAGTAAATGATGAAATACGTCAGTATCAGCAGGAAATTAAACTTACAAATGATGAGGTGACTAATGAAGAGGTTGTAGTCTTTATGTCTGTTGGTTATGATGATGCTACAAAAGCACAAAATGTTTTCTCTCCAACTGAGTTGGAATTCTTCAGGACACTTATTGAGCAAATCATGACTACTGAATCTAGGCAGGTCACAGGAATTAATGCTATCAATTTAGTTGGTAACATGAAATCATCTTTTACTAAAACTGATGCACAAGTAAGTAAACATTGTTATAAATCAGACATGTAATCTGTACTAATATCATAAAGCTAAAGAGTTTGTTTGGTTCAACTCGCTAATCTCAGGAACAACTGGTTCAAATTGAAAAAGTCTTATATTGTCAGATAGCTTGTTTATTGAGGAAGGCTGTAAGATCCACTGATTGCGACAGGCATCACATCACGTAGCATGCAGGCAATTTACCAGAATTAACACCATTTCACCAGTACATAAAAACAGTGTATTTTCGGTCACCATTCTGTTAGGTTGTGCTCACACCATCTCACCATAACATTATAGATTTAGTTTAGTTAATATAAACCAGTTTGCCTTAACTCTTTTATTTTCCCTGTATGGTAACCATAACCTGTACAGAGACTATGTAACAGCATTCTACGTCCAGTAGGGGCCGAGCATTAATAAAAAATGTTGTAAGAATAGGGAAAATTTAATTCAGATGAATTTGTGCGGGTCATATGCTGTTAACATAAATTTATAAAGCATGCATTATTTCTTAATAGAAATTTACTTGCGAATTACCATCAACAGCTCTGTAACTAAGAAAAGGTTTGTCTGGAAGGAAGTATTTGTGACATTAAGTCTACCTTGTCAAATATATTTAGCAAGGTTTAAAAAGATAAATAAATTAACTCATTGATTCAAGAATATCTATAGCTATAGATGAATTCATATTTATATGCAAATAAATTAAAGTGAATTTGTATTGATAAAATATTGCTTTATTTTCAATGTATATAGATTTTTACTAAAATGAAAAATAATACTTTTTAATACGGTGGTCTTTTCTTCTATAAAAGAATCTTAATAACTTTGGTTACATCAATATTAACATGACATAAAAGAAATCAGAGCTTTTATTATTTATATACATCATAAATATTAATATAAAGGTATTAAGTTACCAGAAGAGTTGACCGGTGTAAGAATACCATTATAAGAAGTCTGTCAGAAGAATAATAACATCATATATGTCATGTACAAACCCTGGATCAATACAACAGCATAATTCTTTCTATTTTTTTGTGTGTCTTTGTATATTTGGCTTTCTCATTATTATTATTAAATGATAGATAGTATTTAGGCTGGTAATTTTGCATATAATATGTCTAAATTTTGTTAATACATATATTCTGATTGAGATTTGTATTAAATTAGTATATTTGTAGCAGTAACCTAGAATAGAGTAACTTTCTTAAGGAGGAAATATTACAGTGGTTATGAATCAAAATTCTTATTTTGATTGTTCTTTCTTTAAGTTCTCTTAAGTTAAAGTTATCTTAAGTTCAGTTCTCTTAAGAAACCATTTCTCTAAACAATCGAGTGAAAATATTAGGTACTTAAAAAATATAATAATAATATTCTACCACATTCACACAAGACCATCTAGTTCTAAAACTAAGTAGATTATACTATGGGTACCTACTAGACAACTGATATAAATACATACATACCTGTATTTGAATATGTTAAACTTTAATAGTAGTTAGACACAACTATGTTCCAACTCTGATGTGCCCACCTAATTCATTAGAGTGTTTTGAGTGTCAGAGTAGTAAGTAGGCTCATCCAAATATCAAATTAGAAGGATAGACATGGTAATGTAAATAACGTCCAAAAAATAGTGTTCATGATTTTTGTTACCTTTATAAAAGGAATGGTTAAATAACTACATCATTTCTCATTTTTACCTCATGAGGCCTATGTCCAGCAGTGGACTATTAAAGGCTGTTGATGTGATGTGATGTGAAATAACTACAATAGAATTGTGTATTGTGTTGCAGAAACTTCTCAACACGTGGTGTAAAATGCGGTATCTGGACAAGGAAGAAAATAATTATGCACTAGGTGTGAGAGCTATCCATGAATTTGAAGGCTACCTTCGACAGAACATGCCAGATATCATCCTAGAATGCTGCCTTTGCAAGCAAATTGTTTATAGAGTATGTCATCCAAGTTTCTTTGAGAGTAAAACTTCATATACTTAGATAATAATAAAATAAAGAATTAACTGATGTACCAATAACTTAGGGTGCAGTTTAAAAATTCCTCAATTTACCAACATTTCAGCACAGCATTCGTTTTAGTGTTGTAGCCATCCACACAACCACAGATAAAGAAAAAAAGTTTTAAAGTTATCTGGACACATTTTTAAGGAAATTTAAAAAGTTGCCCTTAATTAGTATAGCTAGTCACCAAGTTATGGTTGAAGACATACTACCGTAATCTTTTGTTGTGTGAGAGCCATTCTTCGGCGCAAATAGGCCAGCTCGACCGGAGTGATATGATGGCCTCACAGGAAACCTAAACACTAATGTTGCTATTCACCAAGTAAGCCCAAATTCTGGGATTAGGGACTCAAAGGGCAACAATGCATTTGTGACTTGTTGAGTTGCAGGTGTCCATGGGTGGTGGTAGTCACTTACCATCAGGTGACCCGCCTGTTCCTTTATCCCCATATAATATTAAAACTAAGACTAGAAAATAAAGAACTGTGAAGGCTTCAATTAATAAATATAACAGATATCTATAAATCATAAAAATAAGTTTAGCATGTCCCCAAACTAGGTTTCTGTCCCATGTTTATACACCCAAAGGAATTTAGCAATTTAAATGTGATTAAAAACTATTTCAGGGTTACAATTGTCCTGGTTGCTTCTTAGCAGTACATACAAGATGCCTCAAGCGGTACTTAGAAAAAGTTCAAAAATGGCCTTGTTGTAAAATTGACTTCAGTACTGAGCAGTTAGAGCGATTGAACAATGACAGGTAAACCTTTTAAGTAGATTGTGCAACGCAACCTTCCTCAGGACCAGTACTTTTATTTGGACAAAAGGCCTGTCAGCATTTTATGTAGGATTTTATGAGGCATGTAGGCATTTTATGAGGAGCCTTTTATGTAGAGGGACATCAGATTTACTATTCCTCTATAATTATAACAAAGGTTTAAGAAAATGTTTGAAATGTGCACTGATACATCTATCCGTTTAATTAATATAAATTGCGTTTGTCCCACTTTTACGTTACAACTGTGCTGTACATATCTCTATACCATTTTATGAACGTCTGACCGTAAAATATACAAAGTATACGTAAACGTGGGACAACCTCAATTCATATTAGTTAAAAAGATAGATATCAGTGTCAGTATCAGTGCACATTTCAGACATTTTCTTAAAATGTTTTTATAATTGTAGAGGAATAGTGAAGTTCCTCTACATAAACAGCTCCTCCTGGGCCGACAAGTACTGGAAAGCCATAACTTAACAGCTGATTTTAGGAAGTTATAAATATTAATTACTGCGAGTATTTCGATGCAGTTGCTAACTTTAACATACTACGGAGTTCATTTTATCTTCGCTAGATGCCGCTGAAATATATCTGTGTGTCGAAATTGCCACACCACTCTTCCAAAGCAACTATGCTTTGGAAGAGTGGTGTGGCAATTTCGACACTAGCACAAATATAAATCTGTTCAACATTTCGAAATATATTAGTTTCTAAGGAGAAAATGAAACTAATGCCTGCTGAACGAAACAAAATATGCGGTTGAAAGGTTTTTTTATTCGGCTTCCAGTGCTTTTTTGCAACAAAATTGTGTTACCTAAGGAAATAAAAAAAAAACTATTTAATCCATATTTTTTTAAACATTTCAAAATACAATAATCAAACTTTTGTCATTAGTTCCAGGCTAACACAAACTCAACAGTTACAGTCGACTCAACAGACGCTATCCACTCAACAGTCAGCTGTATACAACACTATAGCTGAACCAACTCTGAATTCATCAAATGATTTAGAAATGACTCAAGACACATCGTCAGAGCTTTCACAAAGAGTCACGCGGAAGAGAAAGCGTCAGCTTGAATAGATAAACGTTATACGATTTCTTTGGTAAGAAAACTGTAGTGATTATACGTTGATTTTAGTAGTTGTTTAGTTTTTCTGTTTTATAATATGTCTATGTTTATTTTTCTGTATAGTGTATTATTTTGTAGTTATAGTCTTCACGTAGGCAGTGGCGTTGAGAACTACATTACGAATAATGTATAAAATACATATACCTATATATGTTTTCATTTTATTGATAAATACCGATATAAAATAAACCAGAGTTTCGAACATAAAATAAACTTTAATATTTCTAATTAACACTACAAAACTACTAATACCATAATTAACAACTAAATTATATAGCTAAATATACATTTTCAACTTTTCGTCGTACGATTTTCGCGGACTTTGGATAATAGTCCAGCAAATATTTCCACTGGTCCAGCTTTAAATATACAATGTCGACAACAGTTCTTGCCCGGAATGAAAAATGGTGAGCCACGCCAACAAACAGCCCCTAAAAATATAACATGAACCCATCTCATTAAACTATTCTCCTATATTAGTTTATATTATTAATTATAACCTTATACCTACTTTTTACTGGTCATTGTTGGTAAATTCCCATATATAATAAAAATTAAAAAAACTTTTGCCCGCGAATTTATCCGCGTGGTGGCCGACATCAAACATTGTAGAGGATATAATAAATCAAGATTACAGGTAAATGAAAAATCCCAATAAAACCTTTTTAAGGGGAGTTTTTTATTACTTTTAATAAAGAGTATTTACTCTGTGAGTTTCAAAACGCTACTACCAAAAATAACTAAGTTTCATATAAATTTCCAACCCCCATTTTGCGCCGTTAGGATTAGAATTTTTAAAAATCCTTTCATAGTGAACACCTCCGTCATCTAAGCTACACTTGTGCAAAATTTCATGCTGCTGGACCCAGTGGTACGTTGATCAATCACTCAGTGAATCATCTATCAGTTTCTTCTTTTTTAGATAAATATACATTATTATCATGGAACGAGAAAGTTTAAGATTTTCACCAAATATTACTTAAAACCAGTTTAAGCAAGTTTCTAATAAATTATTAAAAAAAACTACATTGGCCCAATATGGTTTTATGTGATTGTCTTAGTCATATTTGTATACAGAGTGTAGCTAAGCGATTATTTCTGTAATATAAGTGTGTGATGTGACGTGAGAGTCATGCTCAGGAATATACGGCGGCTTGACCTGAGTGATAACACGCCCTCACAGAAAACCCGTGTTAATTCTTTCGTTGTGTGAGTCAGGTTACCAGAGGGACCACCCTCCCCCATAATTATATGGTGCTGAAGTACTTGTGGCTCTTGAGCCCATGCCTCCCTTCTTGAATCACTACTTCCCATTTAATTGGATAATATGTATGTATTTAGAAATATATAAGTATGTTTAGTCTGGTTACCATAGTACAGGCTCTGCCTAGTTTGGGATCAGACCGCCGTGTGTGAGATGTGTGAAAATATTATCATTAAAATATTATATTATAATTCTTCCAATCCTATCTCATGGTGTCCTGCATTCTAAAGGCAAATTCTCGTAATAAAAGTTCGATCTCAATTCAGTTCCGATCAACTTTCATAAAAGGTAATTTCGTAGTAAGGTATTTTCTTATTTAGTAATGTGATTATATTAAGTAATGTGATTATATCATATTGTAGCGGAAAATTTAATGGGTAATCTGTTAGTCTTAGTAATACTTTACTATAGTTGATCGGAACTGAATTGTGACCGAACTTTTATTACGAGAATTGGCCTTCTGGTTGCGCCACGCAATAAGAGTCCCAGTGAAATTAGGATAGTAATAATAATAAAAATAACTTTTTATGTTACTAATATTAGGCCTAAGTTAAATGTTACTGGCTTAAGTTAAATGTTACTAACACATTGAGCCTTGTCACCTAATAAACAATTACTTTAATCCTTTTCTCTTTCAATATAACACTAATTTTTACATTTATTTCCGGAAGTGCCCGGTTGACGGTGATACGGATGGGATGCCTCCATTACGTAAGTAGAACTCTGCCTACTTCTTGAAACGACATGACCGAATGGGTATCAATAATCAGTTTTAATTAGTGATCTTTAATGAAACCAAGTTAGGTCTATAAAAAAATATATATTAACACAATAGAACTTAAAGTGCTTATAGTGAAAATGAAAGATTCAAACAAAAAACCTCGCTTGTGATTAATGGGCGAATTGTACTTACTTATATACCTTACATTAAAACATTTTAAGTTAAATACTTTGTAAAGCGGACAAGATAGGAAAATACTAAGTTAAACAATAGATAAGAAAACTAAACCCAATAAAAGAATCTTGAAATTGCAAATTACCAGCTTTTGTCATTTTGTTACGGTTTTCCGTATGAGAGTTAATTAAAGAGTTTTGCTATCAAGGCACAGAAATCTATTTATAAACGTTCCACATAGTTTCAATTAATGGATTTCACTCCTAAGGTATGATGACTATGAATTCCTGTGTGTAATATAATTAGAATATACCTTTTTGTTAGTTTTAACTATTGTATATTTGTTTCTTTGCCTAGGGATTACAGCCTGTATAGTAAACAGGTTGTGCACACCGCCCGCAAGTCAAATTTGGGCACAAAGTTTAAGGTGCGTGCGTGGGAGACAAATGGCGTTCTTTGTTTTGATTTCCAATGACGCGAGACTATTCTTCACAAACTCTATAGATGATGTCGGGACTAATATTAATGTATCTAAATATTAGTATCCATACCCATATTAGCTAGTTGAACTCTAGAGTTTAGAGAAGTGTATGAAAGAAAATTGGTTCGTGTTTATATAAGTATGTACTAATATTACCTGAGCGATACCAAAACTGTCCTCCGGTTCTAAAACATCGTATATCGATTCCGTCAAGTTCGGGTGTACTGTTAGCACTTCGACCTTTAAAATACGAACATCCAATATTATATAGTTACTCAGCATCATAATTACTAATAAAATATACAATAGAAAACTAATCTACAATATTACTTTAGCTATTGAGTTGTATTGATGAATATGACAATTTTAATAGATCCATTAACACAGAACACACTTAAATGACGTCAAATGGTTACGTCATACGTACTTGTCCTCTATGTATGAAATAAATGCATTGGTCTGAGTCACCACACTGTACGATGTAATTGCCAGGAAAGAATACACAGTGTCTCATCCACATGGCCAACATTCTCCTGAAATCATCATCGGTCTTACTGAATATCACGGACTCTCTTATATGTGAGCCGTATACTGCTTCCATTACTTGACATCGTAGGCGGAATGGTAATTTGTAGATGAGTTGAGGCATCTGGAATATAATAGAATTTACATAAAATATTATTGCGCATATGGCACTATTAGATGTGTCACAGAAACTAAGTAACGTAGTTCATTATTTACATAAAATTATTGTATAGCAAATAATATGTAGCAGCATATTTGTAGCTCCTTATTAATTGCATATTCTTTGGCTTCTTCTGTCTGTCGTTATTATTACCACCATTGAAAACTTAAAAACCAAATTGTAGTATGTGTTACACCGATTTTCTTTTCGAATCCTGAAGTATCATCATCATATAATCACGTTGATCACGTTGGTCAACGTGAAATTTTGGCACACAAATTGTCAATGACAGAAAAGGATCTTTCGCGAGCGAAAGCTAGTTACATTGTTTGTTGGTTGTCGTGACTATGTTAGGGGTAACTAATCCCACCCACACGCCCACCACTGTAACTCCTGTACACCAGGATCCACAGCAGTGACCCACGAACACACCGAGTTATGACACTCGGGAAGTCCCAGGAAGAAATTAAACTGTCTTGGAACCCGCAACGAAATTAATCAGAAGAAAATTGGAGGAGTTGGAAATACAGTAAATCCACTTCCCTCCTTAGCAAAGCGGGAGACAAAATGAAGTAAAATGGGCATACACCCTTTTAAACAGGGAAGCACCACGGCCACAAATATTACGGGTCCTACGTGAGCTATGTTTGATTTCTATAATATGTATGGCAGAATCGCCTAAACGCACGGAAATTCACCCCAGTTGACACAAGATCCCCATAGTATACCGCCCCAGATGTCACCTGCAAGCTATTCAGCATTATATTACGTTCATTATACCAAAGACTACATTCCCAGAGGATATGATGAGCAGACTGTTCATAGTGAGAGTTAGGTGTTGAGCATTGACACAATGGTGACTCGACTAATTTAAATGAATAAAGCTTGCTCTTAAAGTTACCATGACCCGTAAGAAATTGAGCGACACAGTGATCCACCTCAAGCCATATCCTCGACAACCGTTCGCGAACAGATGGAAAGAATTGGTAAAAATGGCGCCCCTTGGATGATTCATCCCAGCGTTTTTGCCATTCGTCTATGAGGTCATTATAGACATCGGGCTGCTGTTGAAGCAATCTTGTAATTTTACCGCGATCCCTCGCGCCCAAGAAATCGCATTCCATGTTTTGTCTTGAATAGTACATGGCTGCACGTCTCTGCACCTCGAGATCGACCGGAAGCACACCCGCCAACACCGGCAAAGCCTCAGTGCTAACCGTCCTATATGCCTTACACAAGAATATCAGTGCAAGTCGTTGGCCTTGTAACAGTTTGCGGCGGACAGCGCCTACGGTCGCCCTATCGGCCCATACAGGTGCACCATAGCACATAGAACCTAAATAAGTAGCTCCGTATATTATCTTTAATGTATTAAATGATAGACCCCATGTCGCAGTTGATATCCTTGTCAATGCACAGAAACTCTTTTTAGACTTTTCATTAACTATTTTAATATGTTCGATAAATGAAAAGTTTCTTTCTAAAACTAATCCTAGACAACACACTGTAGTTTTATTTTTTACAGTAACATTGTCAAATCTAATGCTCGGCGGTGATTTGAGGTTACCTTTTAAAAGTAGCTGGAAGGTTTTGTTGGGTGCAAAAGTTAAGCGATTACGTTCACCCCATTGAGATATCAAGTTCAAACATCTATTGGCTAATCTCTCAAGCCCCGCCCTAGTATCAGATTCCACCAGTAATAAGCCGTCATCAGCATACGCGTTCAGAGTACATCCGGATGGTATTGGTATCGCAAGAAAATCGTCGAAGCCGATATTCCACAAGTATGGACCTAGCACCGATCCCTGAGGACATCCCATTGTAAGCGCCTTCGACACAGAATGATGACCAAGTCTTAGTTTAGTTGTACCTTGTGAAAAGTACGAAGAGATAAGGGAATAAATATTTTTAAAGCACCCCCGTGATTTTAATTTCAGCAACAGCATGGGCCACCATGCGTTGTCGAAGGCGCCAGATATATCTAAGAAAATAGCCAGCACGTATTGAAATTTTGACTCTGTGACAAACTTTCTAACCGATATAACAGCGTCAGTTGTCGATTTACCCAACGTAAATCCAAATTGTCTATCATGAAATTTGACTCCACCTGGCAGAAGCCGGGGCACTACAAGACGTTCTAAAAGCTTTCCTAACGATGGTAATAATGTGATTGGTCGGTAGGATTTAGGAACATCCGGTGGCTTGTCGCCACTTTTTGGTATTATACGAATATTACCGCACCGCCATATACGAGGAAATATTCCTTCAGCAATGCTACGTTTAAAGACAGTGAAGATCGTGTCACCCGAAAGTTTACAAGCTTCTTTTATCATTTTGTTAGATATTTTATCATCGCCCGAAGCCTTGTTTAGCGGCAAGGATCTAATGATACCGAGAAATTCGTCTGAAGATGGTAAATCAGACATTGGAGACAGTGGTGGTTCGATGGCCCACTGCCTGATCTGTCGGTGATGATCAGTGTCGCTTTCCGGTCGATCGTCAGGTACGAGTGAGTCTAAAAGATATTTAGATTATGTTAGATTATGTTATGTTATGTTAGATTATATTATGTTAGATTATGTTAGGGGTAAGTGTAAACTCCGACGTCTCCTTCTGCGAGCAGGTTATGCTTGCGAAGGAGATGGCGGAGCAAGACCGGGAGAGGTTCAGAACCCTCCCGCCTCGCCAGGCCCGAGAAAGGGCCTGAGGGTGACAGGTGAGGCCATCTGTCACTAGCAGAAGCAGGACGAGGTGGGTAATGGCGCGATTCGCTACGGAGCGCGCGCGCCCTTCGGGGCAGGAAGGGTTCATCCAGGTTCCCACACAGGAGGGGTCATCTATAAGCCGTAGATGGCCCGGGGTACGTCGGGGTACTAGGGCTTTCCTTTTTAGGGTATACCTGGTTCCCCAGCTACTAGTACCTGAAGACGGCGTGCGATTCTTGGTCGGTTCGAGTCGGATATAATCACCCACTGGTGAGTGATATCCGAGGGGAGTTCATCCAGAAAAAATACCTACTAAAAATACTACGACGATAGCTACGAGTGAAAAAAAAATACTGTCAATTACTTGACTAGACAAAAAAATATTGCCCAATAAATTGAAAGGAATAAAGAATAGATAAAGAAAAGAAATAAAATCTCCTCCACCCTGATTTAAGGGTCTACCCTGTTTTACTAAGTTTTCAAGAAAAAAAAGAGTTTAGAAGCGTCTAGAAGAAAAGTGCCGAGATGGTCTTAATATTGTGTCCGTCTAAACAAGTATTGTGAAGTTAAATCATATTCAAACAAAAAGTTTAATGTTGTTGATAAATACAAAGTCGATCATACGATTGAATGAAGACGTCTTTGGTACCAAATTTAATACGAATTTGGCCAAATTGCACAAGTCGTGGCTAAGGCGGGGCATGATAATCTTGCCAAATAAACTAGACATCGTATCAAAATATATAGAGTTTGACGAGACGTTTGTACACTCCTACCGATTAACAGCGATGGTCGACACCTACGATGCCATAAAAGTCTTCTTTTGAACTTGTGAAATAATATGTTCACTAAATTTTATTTTGATTAATTTTTTGTTCTCTTACTAGTAAAGAGATATCTCCTTATTTTCCACATTTTATCTTTAACAAATTTTAACAATTTTTTAAATAAACAGTACAAACTTGCTTTCAATGGTATACAGGAAATTATAGTTAATTTTTATTACTCCGTATGAGATTTGTTTTGAATGTGCGCTGTCATGTTCGTCTTTCTTCCTTTAACACACTTAAGCAACTATAGTGCATGTAACAACTTAAGCATTCCTGCCGGAAATAATATTTAACTACTGAAAAATATATCCCTATTATATATAGGTAGGGGCAGTTGAAACAGGCGCAAGTTCTCACGCGTCCATATTAATAATTGACCGTGTCACAAGTGTAGGCGATAAACTGTTTACAACTTAAGCCATCGTCGATGTCGATGAACGTTTGACTCAAGACGTTTTTAAAAGCTAAAAATGCAAAATGAACATAAACGCACCTGTTTGCCTTGCTGTCTATTCCAAAGTTCACGAACGTAGTCCCACATTTTATTCATTTGATGTAAACTTAAATTCATGTCTCTAAGACCGTCTCTCAATTCATTGATATCGTAGTCGTAAGCTATCCGAGACGACGAATGCGCAGATATCATTGCTGACATTTCTGATATGAGTAGTCCTGGAAATCAAGTAGTAAATAAAAATCTGTGTTTTTACATGATGTTATTCAGGATACTTTATTTCTATTTCTATAGTACTATAATGCATTATAATCTTTATTTAATTTATTTTATTTACTTTAATTCTTACATTTACACTTAGCTTAAGCACAGCACATAATATGCACAGGTATAACATAGCTTAAGTAGTAATATGATCACAAATACCGGTCAGTTCCGACAGACTCCTGAACTAGGTAATAAATAAATACAAATACACAAATAATAATATACAAATAAATAATACAAATAATAGTGAATAGATCTATGACGTATAAATTGTTATCTAGAAATTACACGACTCCTAAGAGACAGGTCTCTTTCTTAGGAGTCGTGTAATTTCTAGATAACAATTTATACGTCATAGATCTATTCACACAGTACACACACAGTAACAGTTACAGATAACATTAAAAACATCATGTGTTATGCCTGTAGACAGTTATGAAATGCAACGATAAGCCTTTCTGTGTTATCATATGACAACTTCTGCAAATAGCCCGCAAGTGTATACTTCAGATTGTATTGCGTCAAGGAGTAAATTCTAAGGATACGATTGATTTTGTTGTAAAGACGTGCACTTTGGACGATAAACTGACGACTTGCAAAAACGGTGCAACACGGGACGGGGGCACAAACCGCGGTGCCCTTCCGTCTAACAAAGACACTATTGTAGAGTGGAAAAGAGGAGTGTAGGAACTCTGCACTCTGAGTACAGCAGAGTGCAGAGTTCTTACCGTACGCCAACTTATTATAATCCCTGCGTTCGAATTTTTTAAATTATTTATTATACCTTGCACATTCAGACGTATGTATATCAGTATATCATGTATCAGTCTATTAAAAGAGGTTTTTGTTTTTTTTATCTTTGTTGTTTTATCGCTATGACAATCTCTGACGCGTACGCGGTCCTAATAAAATATTATCTTTGGCTACTTGCTGGATATACAGCGCTTCCCCGTGATTCATTCGTTGTTTTATTCAGGCGACATAAACTAATGCCTCGTGCTGTGTAAAATATTTACCGTAGAAATTAGACGAACAACGACGGGGAAATTGTCCAAAATGACATAATTACGTAGCCAACGTACTTACGAGTATATTATGTATTCTTGATGATGTCTCAAAAGGTAAAAATATGCATACCTGTACAAAATTTGATGATGACTATGGCAATAATAGTTTCCACTGCTTCAAAACAATTTTGCGCTGTTACGTCACCCGTGCCAGTTATTGTCAGTAGATTCATTACGTACCACAACGCTGCTACGTACAAAGCGAAATAATTTCCCTGCGGAGAGCAATGTAATGAATTATGTTTACACTAGTTTTTATTTTATTGGTCTGTTTTTTTTTTAAAACGATTACATATGAAAGTGGACTAAGAAAACGATTATATTGTATTCTATTATGTATTAATTTATAAATTTGTACTTATAAGAGTCATAAAACATGACTAGAATACGATTTCTGTTCATAGCCATGCCTTAGATAATCTGACGTTTACTTTGATTAAAGCCTTTCTAGATGCATATATATTTTTTGACATTATACGAGTAGGTGTTTTATGTTACAGATTTTGTCACCATGGGCATCATATCCCAGATCATTATGCTGCCTCCTCCATGCTTTACTGTCGGTACGACGCAATCTGGATGGTATTCTTCGCCCACACGTCGCCTCACGAAGGTCAGACCTGACGTTCCAAATATCTGTTGAAAAAAGAAAAAAAAAACACTTTTTTTAAACTGCCTTAACTTTTGTTATTTTAGTTAAATAAATAACTGTCCATGATTATTAATAACAAAATCAGTAAAATTTACCTACCTTAAAGTTAGATTCGTCAGACCATACCACTTTGGCCCAATCTTCCTCAGTAAAATGATGATGCCGTAGAGCCCATTCAAGTCGTTTTCTTTTGTTAGCTTTTGGAAGCCAGGGCTTCTTCCTGGCTTTGCATCCTTTTAAGCCTGCTTCTCCAAGTCTTCTTCTGGTGGTCCGAACACTTATTGGCTTTCCAGCCTCTTCGGACAAAGTATGTTTTCTTCCGATCTTTCATAGATTCGCTTATTAATTTTCTATCCTCACGCTTCGAAGTCACTAAATGATTTTTATAGTCATTTGTTATTTTATTTATTTAATTATTCTTAGAGAGACTAACAGATACATAATGATGTATTATTACAATTAAATAATCTTATTGCTATTTACAAGTCTCTGCATATACGAGTATGTACTCTAAGGCCTGTCTAGGTCTACGTAGGGATATACATTACACATAAATATGCAAATATCCGCCCATACACATGTGCATGCATATGTGAATACACATGCATACAATGCACACATGATCATACATAAATACTCATACACAATGAAATGCCGATACATAGATATGTTAAAAACAAAAAAAACAGAGTAGTATAGTTTGAATGCCGCTTAAGATTAAAAAAATGATTGAGCTTCATACCCTCATAATCGTGTTAACGTTGGTGCAAAACAGGTATCTATCGTAAACCTAATATTGAACACAGACAGACAGAGAAGCGCGTATAAAGAATATTGAGAGAATAGAAAAATATTAAGAACAGAGCGATTACCATAAAAATTTGGCTTCGTCTTTTCATTTTTTCATCAAGTAGATTTAATTTGGATATTACCTATATGAAACCGTGGCGAGCGACTAATACTTCTTTTGGACTGTCTAGAATCAACGTTGTCAGTTACCTATTGTCACATTGATTCGTAAAAGTAAAGTTTTGAACTATTCAATGAAATTCTAATGCGCGCCTGCGATATTTTTGATTACCTATTGTTTTAAAAGATACAATAGAATACATACCTCGGAATATTTAGCCCGCAAGTATAGCTCCGGCTTTGACATCCAGTTAAATGAGGTGCAGTGGACTGGATTTAGGCATGAAAGTTTAAAGAACAAGCAAGCATTTACGTGTGTGAGAATAGACGCCCATATCGCTATTGTTCTGTAATCAAAACAACGTGTAATGGAAAAGTAAATTAACATCATCAGGCAAAAAAAATAGAAAACACCAAAACACATATAATTTTACTGTACCGCACTGCAATGACTGCACGAATGGCCAAGTGGTTTAAGCGGCCACCTCGCGCTCTTCCTACTGCGCTGAGTATTGTGGGTTCGATCCCCACATCCGACAACACTTTGTATGATCCACAAATTGTTGTTCTGAGTCTGGGTGTTCTTTGAATGATGAATGTTTGTAAAGTCCCCGCGACAAATGATATTTTCGTAGTGCGGGAGATGTCTTAAAAAAAAAGGAAAAAAATTGGTCTAATGTGGTTCTTCAGTCAGACAAAGTCAAGGTAGAGACGTCCGGAAATTCTCTATGCATTTTATTGGCTAAACTCAGTTGCAATTGCTGTCCAAAAGTTAGAATCAAAAGACAGCTAATTACAAACTACATTGGTTAAGTAACGCATTTCTATTTCTCCAAAAGTGTGTATAAATAAATAAGTACTACACTTACGTTAGTTTAAACAGTAAATTTGCAGATCCAATATTTGATTTTCTATGAGTTCTATACGTGAACATGTATGATATTCTGACTAACTGAGGTGTTCTTGTATAGCAGAATAAATACATCGCTATGTCCGGCTTCAGAGATAGTGCGAAAACAAAGTAGCATAATGGAAGAATTGATAGAAAGTCTCTTCTCCTAAGAAATACCTTTGAAAAATACCTGCAAAAACGTATTTCACTTATATAAAATACTAATAATACTTTTATAATTACAGAATATTTGAGCGATATATATTAAATCAGTCAAAATACATTTTGTTTCATTTCATTGACGCCCATATTTGTAACTTTCTAAATCAAACTATGTCCAGTGACGAACTTGTAAATTAATTGTATTTTGGCCTTTCCTTACTATTTAAGGTCAACATATACAGGGTTACTGGGTAAGTCGACCTCAATACTTTAAGGGATTGTAGTGGCCAAGGAATATAATATCCCAAGCATTTGGGATATGGTATTTCATAGTGAAATCTATCAGAAATGATGGCAACTACAACCTCTTAAAGTATTTAGGTCGACTTACCCAGTAACTCTGTATATTGGGCAAGTGTAGTTTTTGTAGCGGTATTCATATTTTTTAATATTACTTGAAAAAATATCATTTTGCGATTATAAATATATAAATATATATGCTTTTCAAAAATAATTAATTCCCCAGAAATGAAAATTCAAAATTTATGTACTTTTATTATATAAAAAGTATTTTTACTAACATTTTCCTTACTTTCTGTGGATTCAATACATAGTCGCCGTACCTATTCATATATCCACTATGAATATCCAGGAATACTTTGTAAAGAAATATTAAGTCAAATACGACGCAGATGTAAAAAAAGTAAGGCACTGACAAGAATGTCATTTGATATACCAGTAATATGAAGTCCGTGTACGAAAGGAAGAGAACAAGGAATTCTGAAAAAAAGCACAATTTGGCTATATCCAATTAGTTCTGGCAATTATAAAAATAAGGTTTTACTACATTAATACATAGGTTTAAAAACAATATTACTCTCGGAAACGTTCTGGAGATACATAAGGGACATAATGTTCATGACTCCAAACTAATCCAATTGCAATATTAGGTAAGTTAAATTTTGTTTAGTATACAAGTTTTCGGTTTGATGCCAGAGATATCTCCTCTGTATACTAAAGTCAACTATGTCAGTTCCGCATAAAATAACGCACTTAGTGCACGCGGTGATAATACACTTTTCTTTGTGTCCTCTAATTATCTAAAAAAGATCTCACGAAGAAAAGTTGTCATATATTGAGGATGAAAGGTATCGAAAAAAGTATTATTATATTGAAAGTGTTATCAGTATTTTGAGTTGATTATTACCCATAAATGTGACAAGTGCACAATCCGGTATAATGCTGCTACGAAACCATCTGAAATGGATAGTCAACATTTAAATATTATTACGTCGAGACACTCATAGAGTATCATTTTCCTGTCTTTTATCTGATTTTATTGGGAGACGGCGAAATGTGTTACACTGCGAAAGGGTCTTGACTGCTTTATTTTAAGGCTGACCGCCTGCCTAGTGCGAAAATGATTTTATTTCTAAGGAATGTTTCCTTAGAAATAAAATCATTTTCGGGCGGATAAAGGAAAAACGTAATTTAGGGTAAGGAAAACAGGTAGATTCAGTGATCTTCCTTTCTTTTTTTAAAAGACAAGTTCCGCATTAGAAATATATCCTGTGTCGCGAGGGATTTTACAATCATACTGAAACGGACACAAGGCACACCCAGACTTAGAACAACAATTTGTGGATCACACAAAGTGTCGTCCCATGTAGGGATCGAACCCACAACACTCAGCGTAGTAAGAAGCGGCGTGGAGACCGGTTAAACCACTACGCAATCCGTGCAGTCAAATCATCCAAGATAGGTATCTAAGGTAAGGGATACCGCAAGTCTATGGTTTAAAGGGGGCAAACGAGCAGACGGTTCACCTGATTGATGGCTAGTAACTACCGCCGCCAATTGACATCCGCAACTCAGGGATCAATATTGCGTTGTGGCCTTTTGAATCCGCCCCCAGAATTGTCGAGACTGGGAGTTTGGGCTCCGGTAACCTAATTTTTTCGTTATTAATTTCTATTCCTGTATTATAAATAAGATCTTAGGAGTCGTTAAGAAGGACATAAAATTGAAACAAAAGCTAAAGACCTGTGAGGTTTGAAAATAAGCCATGGCGCCGGAGTATAATCTGTGCACGTAGTGGAAGTTATTGATCTGGAACCGTGTGATTCACATATACTTTTCTCTGGGCTCTGAAAAATTCCCAGTTTCATTTATTCAATCAAATATTTCTTTGTGTAATACTATTTGTCATTTGGTAATATTTACTTCCAAATACTTGTTTTCTTCAATGTCATCTTCTTCTTCCTCTCCCGTTTCATATGATGTTGGAAATAAATGATTAGGCTGAAAAAGTCATAAAACAGAAATTGTAACATACAAATACTAACGTTTTTATCCCTAAATGGGCATGCAGAGGCGACTACAGTTTTTAACCGACTTCAAAAAGGAGGAGGTTAACAATTCAGATTGCTTGCAAGTGTCGATGGGTGGCTTTACTCCCTTACCATCAGGTGTCTGGTCTGCTCGCTTGCTCCTTATGCCCTGACCTTAAAATGTATATATACCTCTACGCTGATCCTATTGACAGTACAAATTGTTGGTAGGACGTAGTCTTTATGCGCTGTTTTAACTGATTCCGTCACTTTTTTGAGAACAGTTGGATAACTCTGAAATGTTAAAAATAAGAATAATACTTAAAATATACTTGTTTTTTTCAAAGAGCAAAAAATTGATTGAAAAAAAAATCTTTTTAATAAAAAATTGACATTTGAATATAACGGTCACAAGTTTAACTCCTAGTACTGCTTTTTTGACAGTTTTCCTTTATTATTACATTTTAGAGAACGATATTTTGATTTACTATTTATGTATTTTATCTCAGTAATATCTAAACAAGTATAAGATGGCCTAATGATTAAATATTAATTACCTACCTTTAATAGTGCGTAAAAATCCCGTCCTTCAATACATAGCACATCAATATTCCTCGAAGCTACTACATTTGACATTGTTAGATATCTGGTGGCACCTTTTATATTTCCGAAGATTCCGCCTGGTCCCATACACGCTTCTACTTCATCGATACCAGACATTATATCCACCTGTTTACAACGTCATATTAACACGCCAATACTCAATTAGATACTTCGCAAAAATGATATGGTATTCGAACTAATCACACGTTTTATTAAAGAGCTGTTTACGGATGCTTAACGTGATTAATTAAATAGCGCTAATGAGGCGCTCTTTGCTCCTTCTTCCATAATCAGTTTTTACTTCATCGTAGCATTTAATTTAGAGGTGCTATATACGTTTTGGTTATCCAAAGTTTCGATCCAATTCCACCAATCGTCCAAAAGAGTCGGTATTTTTTTGCATTTGCATTTTGACAGAACAACGTCTTTCGGGTTAGCATGTCTTTAATGATATGAATACCATATGCGCCAGTTTTTTACTAATAAATAATGGGGTTAAGAAGACAAGCTTGAATTGTGGGACTCGACAAAAAAATTATAAGTGGTAAAACAAATTCGCATGCTAAAACTGCGTATTTGATAAAACGTATACTTACTTTGCCGCGATAAATTATATACATGGTGCTTATGACTTCATTGGCTCTCATAACCATATACCCTTTCTGGCAGTATCGTTCTCGAAGTTTTTTTGCAAAAGCTCTGAAGAAAGAATATTCGACATCCTCAAATAATGGTATTTCTCGTAACGTCTTCTCATACATATGCAAAACTGCGTCTTCATTTAAGTTTGCATGTAATTTACCCAAAATAGATTGGTGCTGTAAATAAAATCACTATAACAATCATCTATTTTATGATATACCTATCACGTTTAGGATCTAATGCCTTGGCGCGCGCATTCCGCTCCTTCCGTCACTCCGGGATGTGCCTCAGTCGTGGAGTGCGGCAGGGGGAATGCGTTTCTGGAGTTCTTCCTGACTGATGAAGTAGACCGCCGCGGGCTTTAGTGGGTAGACTGGTTCTCCGGGAGTCTTACACACGCCCTCCGTTTTCCCAACGGAGGGTATGGTGTGAAAAGCATTCCTCGTGTAAGAAAAAGGTATAAATTACGCATTTGGAGGTTCACATCACATCATTACATCAACAGCCTTTAATAGTCCACTGTTGGACATAAGCCTCTCCTTAAAAAGGAGGTTTTGGCCTACAATACCACGCTGGCCAGACGGGTTGGTATAGGGTTTGTGTCAAGTTTTCCTTCTCTTTGCAGTGCTATTGACCTGCGTATTTTGCTCCCTTAGTCGGCTCTTACGACACCTACGGGATGAATAGCGGTGGTGACACTCCTTATTCTTAATCCATCACCACACGGTTTTATTTGCAGGTTACCTAAAATAAAATCACTTACCGACCATCCCCCCGTTCTTTTCCACTGATATTTCCAGTACTCTAAGATTTTTTTCTTCAGTGAGAACGGAACCTTTTCTCTATTTAGGAACATTTCTAAATGTTTCATGTTCTCTTGAAATTTTGTTACCACTTGATCAGCCATTGCTTTTAGGGATGCTATTCTTGCGTACACGTAACTATTTGAAGAAATTATTAATCTATAATAGACTTTTAGTTAAAGTAATGAATTATTAAATTCCCTTCTTAATCCGTTCATTTATATATAAATACCAAACTGCCGTCGCATTCATGCCAGTTGCAAAAACTTTGTTAAATTATTTGTCTTAAGTGTAGCAGAATTTATTACAGTTACAATGCTCTACTTACCCAAAAAATAAGACACCGTGTAAATTAACACAGTTAAATAATATCATTTGGACTACGCTTTGAGGTACAATGTCTCCAAATCCTGCTCCACCAAAGCTAGATGCTGCCCAGTAATACGCTAGTAAATATACCTTATTCGGCGTTAAGGCTTGGGTTTTTAAAATTTCCGCTCCATCTAACCAGGAACCTGAAAACCAAAATAGTTCGAATATGATATATTGTGAACAACATAGTAGGGCAAAACCTCCTTTCTAAGGAGAGGCCTATGTCCAGCAATAGACTATTAAAGACTGTTTGATGATGATGATGATGAACACATAAATTTTGATTCGGTCGTATTGCTATTGTCTTTACAAACGATGATGAGCCTAACCTAAAAGTTAATTTATTTGGTTAGAAACTTTTTCTTGATGCTGCTATATAAGATAAATATCTAATATGTGTTAGAAGAAAATTTATTGTTAAATTGTAGCCCGCTATATCGAAAAACTAAAAAAGGGGACCGAAAAGAGGATTCGGTCTTCCCGCCCAAATTCAGTTCGATTCGTTCGTTCGTTCGATAGTTCAGGGCTATTGCTGCCATCCGTAAACGCAATATCCCTTTCCCGTCATACATTTTTATTGCCTTCCTATTTTACCAACTCCTTTAATTCCTAAAGTGCCTGGTTGCTGGCAGTAGGTTTGCCTCCTACGTGAGATTAAAATTGTAGTCGGAAGAATTGTAGACGTTTAAAACGCCTCTGATTTACCCTTCGGGGATATAGGCGTGAGTGTGTATGATAAAAAATGCTAGCTATAATATATACTACACTATGATGTCTACGCTTAGAACTAAAGGTGATACCAATCAATAGCAAACATAGCATACGTATTGAAGTAAATACGAACCCTCGAGACAAATCATATTTCCATTCGGCTGAAAAGTAGCTTTCATGTAAGGTCTGTTTCGGGATAGCTTTTCAAGTGTTCGTGCAAAGTCATCAGGATCAGACGCAATCACATATCTGCATGAGAGTGTGATCAATATTGACGCATATAAATTAAAAAAAAATAGTGTCAACAGAAGGAAATGTACAACACTCATGAGGTATGCCTGAAAAAAATTAAATTATGAATTAGATCAAACATAGTGTGTGTCAAAAATTTTTAAATTTGGAACAGTTTGAATTTAGAATTTACAATATTTTTTATTTTATTTAATAACGATTTCACAAAATGCCACATCGTAGTTCATTTTGAACTCCACAATTAATTTTCTGGTGTTTGAATTAATAAAAAAATTTGCTTATTTTTGTTCATGAATTGCATATATTGCAACATTATGAAAGTGTGTGAGCGATAACTTCCTTGGTTAGGAATAAGTCTGACTCGCGCGTATAGGGCTTTGTATAAATTTATATAAGTATGAAGAGAGGCAGAGAATGCCTTGGGCATTAAGTCCGCCTGTGTACAACTTATGCATTAAGTTAAATAAATAAAATATTATTTCAATTCGAACCAGTAGTTTCTTATATTAGCGCGTTCAACCAAACAAACAAAATCTTGAGTATTCTTCTTCTCTTCTTTCTATTGTAATATTAGTATCGATGAAGTCAAACATGCCTTTCCAGAGATACTTGCCCATACATCTATGTAGGTACGTAACAGTATTCACACAAGATTTCAAACACAAAATATGTGTGTAATTGCAAAAAAATATTTTTATCTGGTGTTAAGCAACAAATTAGCGATATAAGGATTTTTGAAGTGAAACTTCTTGAGAATTTAATACTCAATGAAACGAAAATGCGTCATGCACACACACACTTTTTTTATTTTGTGCATATGCTGCTCCCCAAATTTCAAGAATCTAAGTGAGTGTGAAGTTCCTACCCTACTGGTTTTAATTTTCGGACGCAAAGCAAATTAAACATATCACAAGATGATGAGTTGACTTAGAAACTAAATCTTTTTACAGACATGACTATTTTATGTTATATTCAATTTGATACCGCCACGCCTTCCGGAGAACAAGACTCTCAGCAGAAAAGTGGACAGACACACGGACCAGAAAGTGATCCTTACTCTTCATGAAACTAAGTAATTTAAGTATCGTTAAACATTTTATCGATACTTAAATTGTGTGATTTTCTTTTTAAAGACTACTCCCGCACTAGGAATATATTCTGTGTCGCGGGAGACTTTACCAACATACATGAAACGGGCACAAAGAACACCCAGACTCAGAACGACAATTTGGATAAAAGTAATATATATATATATATATATAGGTATATAGTAGTAAAAGTAAGACAAAGTGTATAAAAGTAATTTGAAATTTTATTACTCGTCTCAATGCTCCAATAGAATCAGCCCCCGATGCGGCATACAGTTTAATAATTTGTAAGACATTGATCATTCTAATTGAACAGTGGTACATGTGGTTATTGATATCGTGATCTTCTTGACTGTGGTTTTCAGTATGCTTTATAACAAAACACGTCCATATTAAGTACCAAGGGAAAGATGTAAGGAAATCCACTACAAACTGACCCTGAAACATAGAATTGATTTGTTTATAAATATTTTTATTTAGTCGCAAAGTTTGCTTTGCTTGATGCTATGAATTGTATCGTAATATAATAATTTAAAATTAAATAATATTTTTTTTTAATATTTCGGACATTGACACACAACGTCATCTAGTTTCAAGCTAAGCAGAGTTTGTACTATGAAAGCTAGATTGACTGATAGAATACTAATATACTTTTTTTTAATACATACATATAATACATAGAAAACACCCAAACTCCAAAACAAATATATGTAGATCATAAAAACATTTGGTCCAACTTGGGAATCGAACCCTAAAACTGCACCACCGAGGTAGCTGAAATGCTAAAAAGTAGATTTTTCCATTCATTCATTATGTCCTAGATAGCTTTCCAGATTCTTGTAAAATATACAGACCTGTAAGTAATGCCTTGCTGTCAAGTAAGGATGATATATTAGTTGATTTTTCGGGCCATAATATGCCACGTGGAGCATCAAATATATATCGATGTAACATATAGTTTCCAGAAATAGGAGTGGTACATTAAAGGATTTGAACAACGGCGCCATAGATACGATCACCTTGAAATTAAAAAGGCATTATGAGTGGTAATGTGTAAGGTAACTTGCATAAGACGCCCGTAACACCCACGTTTATACATATAAATCTAAATAAGCAACTACATGCATATATAACTGCACACCTACTCATTTAATTTTTTTACATCAACTGTCTACAAGGTAAGGATTGAACACCAACTGGGGTTCTGAATTCATTCAGTGTAGAATGCGAAGTTCGATGTAAGTATTTAGTATTTTTGAACTATAGAGAGAGTTATCCTTTATCAAATATAGTTCATTTTATATCATTTAAAATGTTTACTAAGTTTGCATTAAATTTACAGCAACGTTATTGTAATGCGTTGTTAAATAAATAAGACATATTGAGCTCATACGCATTAGTATCTTCGTTGAAAAATCTGCGAATTCTTTGAGTTTTTAAATCTATTGTAATTAACCGACAAACGAAAACTAAAACGATTGTCAAGTTTTTGATATGATGCCGTACGTCTTATTAAAGGCGAATAAAAAAAGTGTTAAGACTACGTTGTGATTCCATTCCCTAGGAATCCTTATAAAAATGAGTGTTTCGATTTTTTAAATATTGTAGTTATTTGTCTTACTTTATTGGTAATTAAACAGTCTGCTCAGAAAACCTTAATGCAGTATTTTATTCATAACCCCAAAAAAATTACATCATACTTCACTTTGAGTTTCTTGTTTCTCATGTTTAATAGTTATCAGTTGTAATCGATGTCAAAATTTTGAACATATTTAAATAACTTTTCTGTAGAGTATCACCAGAATAATAATAAAAAGAAAGAAAGAAAGATGGTACGGTTGACATCTGTCGGGCATGCCACCGTCCTGGCGACTCAATCAGGCATATTATTTCTGGTTGTTCTCGTCTTGCTAACGGCGAATATTTGCATAGGCACAACCAAGTAGCCAGGATCGTACACCAACAGCTTGCTCTTAAATACCATCTTGTGAATCTAGAGGTGCCATACTACAGGTACTATGTGCCCGACCCAGTTCTCGAGAATGGTCGGGCCACGTTGTATTGGGATCGATCTATTATCACAGACAGGACTATAGTTGCCAATAAGCCAGATATTGTGGTGATAGATGGATTAGAGCGCCGCGCAATGATTGTTGATATCGCCGTTCCTCATGACGAGAATCTCGTGTAGGTTGAAAATAAAAACAAATCAAATATTTGGATTTATCTCACGAGATTGTCGATATGTGGTATGTGGATTCAGTGATCATTGTTCCGATAGTCGTATCTGCTCACGGATTGATAGCCAAGAGCCTCGACCAACACCTTAAGAGGCTCACGTTGGACGGCTGGATCAAGGGTCTGATGCAGAAGGCAGTCCTCCTTGACACGGCTCGTATAGTGAGGAGGTTCCTATCTTTGGAGCCCTAACCACCGGTGTCTTGGTCCCTGTACCCGATGTCGGTGGTCTACTTTTTTTTATATTTTTAAACGTATTTTTTAAAAAATGTAAATAATATGTATATAAAGTGAATAAAGAGAAAAGTTATAATATGAACAGTTTTAATGAACTGGGAGCAAGCACCTGCTTCTGAAACCTAGATATATTTGGATACCAGACTATTTTTCAATCATATTTTATGCATTATTGTCATCCACTTGCAAAAGTCGAATATGTCCTGGGCACGTTCCTGGTCAAGTGCCCAGGACATATTCTCCGCGCACCCTTATACGTATCACATCTAACAGCCGCTTCATCATTTGGCATTTTATTTTATGTTTTGGTAACGTACCACCTGTGTAATATTGTAAACGTAAACAGTATAATATTTTAACATAGTTTGTTTCCATCTTAGTAATAACTTTCATATTACTAAACAAACACGAGATGCAAGTGCAAATTAAGTGCAATATAGTGTGTAAAGCGGTTCAAATCGTTGCTTAAAAAGCCGAGTCGTCGTTAATTATCGAAAAGCGATTTCTAGCGAGCTGACATAGAACAAATAATCAATTTGTCATTTGCTCATGTCTATGATGTGATTCATACAACCTACGATACATTTTACATTGTTTGTCATCAAGTATTAGAAATCACTGCAATTTCACTCTTCTAGTTCAGTCACTCTGCTCGAGTGACTTCGTCCTGTAGATTTCTGTAGATTTTATAGCTTCTTGTTATGGTCTGAGAACACTAGCTGAAATGAGCTTTATTTTTGGTTGTGCCTGCTTTACAGTTCTTGCTGTCAGGACCTTTTTGTTAATATTGATCCCTGCTTGAGTTCAATTGGAAACTCAAAAAGCAAGCATTAGGTGTAAGTTGAGCTAACATTCAACTGACACATAGTGTCCTCTCTCGTTCTATCACAAGAATGATAACTTTGTACTAATTCTATAAAACTGTTTAACCTATCGACCAATGTCTATAATAAAGCTAATGTTTAAAAAAGTTAAAACAGATTATATGTTAGCTGACGCCATAAAGTAGGTATTTGATAAACGGACTAGCCACTCCTTATGTGAATTACTGTTTACAATATTGAACCAAAACAGAATCTTACAGGTATCATAAGGCATAATGAAAAGGCCACGCCAATGCGCATCAACGCCCACACTTTTAAGAATATACCATCTGGTTTAATGACTATAGGCATCAATATATATGGCGCTATATTATTGAACATTTTGAATTTCTTGTATGATTTCCAATAGCTTTCTTTTGTTTTTTTGTATTCAGCAAATACATCAATGAACGAATCTGCAAATGAAATAATACTAAAGTTCTTTTAAAAGCGACTGACCAAATATTAAAGTAAATTAATTATGTGCAATCCTTTCTCTTCAATATATAATAGCAAGTTTGTAATTAGGTACAGTTTTTGCTAAAACGCATTTCGAATTTTAAATTTTACAGGAAAGCCTTGCGGGCATAGGGATTGAATAACAATTAGCGGCTTATGCAGCTACGTCCTCGAGTTGATGTTGAATGACATGTGACTTCATTCCTAACTATTTCCTATTTCGTTTTTCTAACTTTGAAAATGACGAACTTCCATACAACTGTTCGTCCCTTATATAACGTTTCCCAAAATACTGTCTTAGCGGGTGCTTACTACATGAAAAGTATCAGCTGCCATAAAGGTTGTTTAGGCTCTGCGTTGATGAATCAGTCAGTCAATCAGGGCAAGTTATTTTATATGTATAGATAAAGTCAAACTAGAACAGTTTTTTTTTCTATTAGGTATAATTGATATTTAAAATATTATAAATTCGAAAGTGTGTCTGTCTCTCCGCCTGTCTGTCACCTCTTCACGCTTAAACACTGAACTGATTAAGATTAAATTTGGTATAGAGTTAGTTTGAGTCCCGGGAAATTACATAGGATAGTTTTTATCCGAGAAATCATCCTTTAAGGGGGTGCAAAGGGGGTGGAAGTTATAATGGAAATCAACGACCGCTGAACCGATTCAGATGAAGATTGGTGTAGAGATAGTTTGATTCTTGAGATATTACATAGGCTACTTTTTACTGCGATAACTGTAGTATATAATAATTATGTTCATGTTGTACTTACCATTAAAGAAATCTTGTAAAATATTAGTAATCTTAGTTTTGGCTTTGCTCTCGTTGATTCGATTGTAATGTTGCAAGTAAGAGTCGGGACATTGCGATTTGGCTTTATTTTCAATAAACAAAAGTTCTTCAGCCGTCATGAGACCTTCGTGTTCTTTCATATCGGGAAACAGACTTAAAGCCGAGACATAAGCGCTGTGGCTAACACATATCAGCTAGAAAGTATATAGGTGTGTTGTTTATTCATCACAAATTAAATAGCTTAAAATATTTGTGAAATGTCGGTATTAAACGAGGGGGCATGTTTGAGAGGACCAATACTTATTATAAATAACAAGCTATGCTCTTATCGTCATCATAATCTATTATGCCTACTGATTTATTTAAGAATCTGAACGGTTACGCAATTCCAGCCATGTTAATATTATAAAATATAAATACATATAAAATATCTTCCATAAATTAGCCTTATTACTGAATACGGTTAACAATCCTTCGAGTCCGCCTTTTGGACTACCAATTTCATCTACGCACATATAAATGCAATAGTCACAAAGCTATAATGTTATATCAATCAAGGTTCATCATTAAATCACACAGCAGTCACATACGCTACCACTGCACCACCGAGACAGATCTTAATTCAATCCAATTCCGTTTTTTATTTCATTTAAGAGGGGGCAAACGAGCAGACGGAACACCTGATATAATGTTACTACTGCTGACGATAAACGCCTACAACTCAGGAGTCACAAACGCGTTGCCGGCCTTTTAGGAAGGAGTACGCTCTTTTCATGAAGGTTTGAAAGTCGTATCGATCTGGAAATACGGCACACGATAACTTATTCCACAGATTGATTGGTTTATTGTATATTTAATACTTCTAATTTATTCTTTAGTTCATTATAAACACGCTTTATGTAGGCCTTTTATTTAATATTCTAGGTTGTTCTTTAAGGCTGTTCAGGAAAAATATACATACTCGTATTTGAATCTTTGCAGTCCGGTCACTGAGCAATTAGACATCAAAGTGTCACAACAATATCGCAATCATTAATGCAATCTCGTTTTGTTCTATCTTTATCTGTACGTGTATCCGTGAGTTGGTTTACATGAATATTAAGTACGAGTGAATTATACCAACATATATAGCAACGTAGCTCATTGAAATCAGACGGAGTAATATAACTAGGTACTAATATTACTGGTAAATAGCGGTTAAATTTCATTTCGTTAAGTACCATCGGCCCACTGCCATGCCACGTAGCGGATCGCGTGCTTTATAAGATGAATAAATAAAAAAAACCTGTAGGTTGGTATAGGTTACAAAACTGTCCATTTTAGAAACTGACACCGTTATTAATTTCCAACAGAATAGTTTTGTTTTAAAATCTTAAATTTCTATCATATTTATATGACTAAAACAAAAACACTGCAAATAATATCTTATGATATGAACGGATTATAAAAATGTACCTACTAATCCGGTCCGTGTGGTGACGGATTAAGAATACGGAATGTCACCACCCCTATTCATCCCGTGGGTGTCGTAAGAGGCGACTAAGGGAGCAAACTATGCAGGACAAAAGCACTGCAAAGAGAAGGAAAACTTGAAACAAACCCTATATCAACCCGTCTGGCCAGCGTGATATAGTAGGCCAAAACCTCCTTTCTAAGGAGAGGCCTATGTCCAGCAGTGGACTGTTATAGGCTGTTGATGATGATGATGGATGATGATGACCTACTAATTTGGTAGTCAATACAATTTCATTTGTGAAAAAAGAATTTTCAGTTAGTTAGCAATTACTTATAAATGAAATAATGTTAGATCTGACAGATAGAAAACATTGCGTCAATTATTAAACCTCAAGAAACGTAAACCTTCAAAACATTTAATCAGTATAAATTTTTAAATGCAAAATTTTGCAACATGATGCGCAATGATATGAGTATTGTACTATATTGCCATGACCAGGTAATTATACTCACAGAATGCATTATTCTGCGTGCCAAATACAATAGGTTTTGCGGTAAGGGTCATACATAAAGCTCAGTATTAGATACGTGGTGTTTGGTAGATACATCTAAGTATTGGAGGAAAGAAGTTTTTAAAAACTTACTTTACAGTGGGTCAATGTAATAACAGTGCTAATAGAAGGTACTCCGTATAGAAGCACTAGTAAACCCAAGTGGTTACCAGGTCCTATAACTCGTTCTTTTTTCGCTTCTCTCATCTCCTGAGATGTCACCAAACAATACCCACTTTCTATTATATAAAGCTCTCTAGTCACTGTGCCCCCATAGAAAACTATTTCGCCTGGTGGTAGGATGATGTCTGTAGCGTCTGTAAAAATTTTGGTCGTCATTAACCTCTGGAACCACGTATTATCAATAAGTAGCAATGGTATACATAACTGAATAAACCGAAAAAACAGTTTTTGTAATTAGAGATTTGCTTTTCACGTTAAATAAAAATCGAAGAGGGAAAAGCTACACTCCTACTCAATTTAAAAATCCCAACTATGACATACAAATTATCACTTTCGAATACACACAGGAAACACGTGTTTCGTCTTTACATGATGGTATCTTCAGGAACCTTCTCCCTCATTTTCTAGAAGATTCTTTAATTCGGCATTGGAGATACCCACATATACTCAATTATCTTCCCTTTCTATTACGTTGAGGTTAATCCTGCTGTTTTTATGTCTATTTTATGTCTCTCCTGGCTGTTGTCATCATATAGCTTTACAAATCAATCTGTGTGTATTTGTCTGTAATTGTGGCTTTTCTTGCTCAATAACTAATTAATAAGGATTACCTGCATGCAACGCGTTATGATTTAGTTATATTTGCGATCTGACTTAAGCTGAAAAGGATATCAATAAACCTATTTGCTTATCCCTATCGTCATTTTAAAGTGCTCCTGACTGTGCTGACAAATAACTACATTTTTTTCGAGACACATAGACAGGACACTTTTATTCAAATCTATCACCGATCTACGTACATATTTAATTGCACCATCATTGTAACAATGCGGTTAAGGTCCCGTACATGTCCGACGTACCTCGTACGCATGTAGGTTAATTCCTCGTAATTAAATGTATTTTAAAAACTGTTTCTCGCAGATCCACTTGCATTTATCACTGCTCTGTTCATTAAAGTCGTAGCACAATGATACATAATCAAGAGTATAAAGATAATGAGTCCTGTATAATACTAAAGCAAAGTAAAACCTGCCTAATACTTAGTTCTAATTCAAAGCGCGTCTCAACAAACCATAATAAATAAAATAAAAAATACTACGAAAACCATGCTAGCGTCACCAAGCTCACATAATTTTCGTATATTCGAAGGTAATGGTGGTTCAAGTTGCGCCACCATCAAGTTTTATTGATATTAGCTTCTCGTCTTACGCATAATCTTTTTTCTTTACTTAGTTATTTTTGTATTATTACTTTCTAATGTATTATGCAATAGATAGTCTTACTTTCAGTTAGTGTTTGTATGTAGGCCTTGTTCTTAACTTGGAAAAATTTTATAGACGTAAGAGCTTTGAATCTAGCTTGATGTAAGACTTTCTTGCGAAGTTCTGACGGAACGACTGTTTTTTCTAACCAGTTATCTTCAGTCAATTCTACACCCTAGAAAGAAGATAAAAATGTCGGATGCTGCTTTTATATTTTAATTAGGAGTTTATTATTACGAGTATAAAGTTGATATTCAAATAATGTAAAAGTATATCTATCATATTCAGTTAGTTGTATCTACTTGGAACATTACCAGGGTTTGTTCATAGTTTTGGCTACCCGATAGTAAGTTAAGTATATCGTAGAAAAACCAAAAACATTACCGAATTATACTGCCATTGCAGTTCGTAGAACGCCATAATCCTAGATTTGATAGCTGGATGCATATTATTTTCTTTCATAAACTTGTCTATCGTCATTATGACTTCCAGAAATGCTGTTTTTGTTCTTAAAAAACATAAAAATATAGTTAGTAGGACCACAATCAAGTTGAGGTAGACTACGTTTCGTTGGACTATTAGCCTTTTAACATGTGTAGTATATTATATATACATATATTGTATAGTAGTACCTACAGCAGTATAGCGACATTATTTTCCCATGTTATCGTAAAACTAGGGCCTCGTTTCTAGGTTTCTTTCTGTGAAGCTGTAATGCTCCAGAGAGAAACCGCTGAACCGGATCGGGAGAGGGCCGATCCCGAACGTAGAGGACGTCGGCGACGACACAAGCCGTCGATGGGGCCGCGGGTCGCCAGAAAGTGGAGACCTCTGGAGGCAGATTGATTGCTGCGGTAGGGGATAGAATGGCAGCTTGATTGCAATCGGGTGCAATCGGGCTGCCACGCTGCGATTAAGGGGGGAAGTACTTCCCCTTGGATAGGGCCTGAATAGGAATGGTGTCAATTCGGTTAGGACCTGAAATAACATGGTCCGGGTCCTCCCAGAGTATGGTACCTGAGACCGGCCGTCGGGGTGGTTTTTAGTGGAATCACCACATACTCCTGGCTCTTGAGTCAGCGAGGAGCAGGAGATCCGAAGGAATTTTCCAGCCCGTCAACAAAACAAAAGGTCCTTGTTTATAACCACTATTATGGTGCGTATTCTTATATAGCACATCCTACTTCTAGCCGTTAAATAATATGTTTATGTATTCGTAATAGTAGTTATTCTTGAAATCAATGGACATCAGGTTTGAATAAAGGTTAAACCTATCCTATCCTAACTACAAAATTACTAGAATTTAATAGTTTGAACGCTAATATGACTGATGTCAACTATAAATTTTGACAGCTTAAGTAATATTTATGCATGGACATGTTTTAATGTTAACCCATACGGTAAAATAGATCAAGGTTAAACCTCGCGTAGGTTCGGCTCAGTTCAATAATTTTTATCATTTGTTTTGTTGTAATAATACAACATGTGGTCAATTACCTTGACCAGTGAGTGACAACAGCTGAGAACTCAGACACGCAGTATCCGGTGAGTAAAACTCCATACAGGCTGAGAAAGGCCACAATTCCCATGTCGAAGAAATCTCCTGGTGTGAAGTCTCCGTATCCTACAGAGAGTAGGATAGTCGTAGCAAAATATATAGACGTAATTATCGGAAAGTCAGTCCTGAAAAGACATACAGTAGGATTATTCAAAAGAACGTGTTCAAATCATTCAGGGCTATTTTCACAGAAATTGAAATTAACACATAAGACCAACGGAACAATTTTCTTTAACCAAACCCCCCCGATTGTGAATGATGAAAGGCAGAACATTGTCATCCTTGGGTATTTTGCTCTAAACTTTGGAAAACCCCTAGAATCCATAGAATCGCGATAAATTTATGAAACCAATGGTCTTCTGCAAACCGATACAACCTCCCAGAAAAGAGCTCCTGAGTTGCAGGCCTATATAGACATTTGCCATTAGGTAATCCGTCTGTTCGTTTGCCTTCTATATCATAAGGTAACCCTTAAAAACTACTGAAGTTTAAAAGGAGCTCACCCTGAAAAGATAGACTTGCAGAAACTAGGGCCATCCGACTGTGTAATAACGGCTGTCTTTAAAATGAATCATAATACAAATAAATCACTCGATGGAAAAATTTAATAAAGTATAAATACTATATGAGTCATAATGCTGTCATCCAAAAGAATATATTTACGTTCATACGTACTAGTAATACTGCAATGATTTGTAGATGGTAAAGTTTGCGAATAAATTATGATTTCACAAAAATTACACCAACTTTCCTAATAAAGAAAACACCCACACTTAAATCGCTCTAAGATGAAAGAAGATGAAAAATGTAGGATTATTTCTTACCTAGTATATTTAAATTTCGTGTTTTGGGTCTCCCAAAGTAATGCTTTATTGAACCATGAATTTTCTGAACATCTGCTTACAAAACAAGACTCCATATATAGAATAACACCGCACCAATAGCATAGCAGGCATATATACACGCAATACTTTACTACCTAGAATTTACAATTATTTTATTCACCTTAAATAATAAACCTTTACATTTGATTATAGAATAGTGGTACTAATTGGTTACCTTAATCATTATCGAATTTGTCATCAATTTTCTCTCCAAGTTCTCAAAGAAACTCGATAGCCTCCATACCAAACAAAGTTTAATACCTTTGCATAAATAAAATAAGTGATCTCTGTAGGTATCATGATACTTTACAGAAGTATGTATCAAAACAATACATTCGAATGGTATAATAGCTAATAAATCCAGGTAAAATCCAAGTGTACCCATCCTGTAACTCAAAATACTTTTTAATTTTGTTATGTACTTCTTTTTGGTTTTCACTGCTGTTATAGATGTTATAAAGATATTAAGTATGAGTGAAACTGTTATTATTATTTGGGCGTAGAAGGACACACCATCTGGAAATGTTCTTTGAAATCCAATATAATAAGGATAGACTATGCAGACATAGGAAACTATCATTAAAATATATAGTTCCCAGTACTTCACAAGGAGACAGTCTGCTTCTAGAATCCATGGAAATTGAGAATTTAAACAAGTAAAAGTAGCTGTTTTCTTCTTTACGTGTTCAGACAGAATATACAAATCCAAACAGTTCTGATCAAGATGGTCGTCTTTGGTCAACGTGTCTATATCTGTCTTTCCTGAATAAACAAAAAGCATTATTGTAGAAAATGAAATCAAATTTAAATGTAAGTAAATTACGATTAGTTGGTGAAAATATTACCTTGAAGATATCGTAACTTATCTTTTAAGCATTTAATACTGCTTTTCTTACGATCTTTAGAAGCATATATGTTTAATGAAAATTCGGTTTGTTCTGCTTGTATTATTTTCCTACGCTTAGCTCTTGACAGTCGTTCCTTTATTTCTTTTGTAATATGTTCAACAAGATCAGGGTAAGTGATCATTAACTTTATAAATTTTGTTTTTTCCAGAACTTGGCACTCGACGTATGTTGCTGCCTTTACGGTACACCGCGCTGCAATAAATAAATATTTTCGTGTTTAAATGATTAGTACTTTCATCATAAATCCATATAAACATTTTTTGGCAAAGAAAAATATTAACCATAATGTTAATAATTAATAGATACTATTACAAACGGCTTGTATGTCGATTATCGCGGCAAAGTAGCCTATATTTCTCGCTGATAATGTAGCTTTCGCGTGGTGAAAGAATTTTTTAAATAAGATAAGTGGTTTAAGTGTGAAAGCGCAACAAACTTACAAACTTAATTTTACATTTGTATCATAAGCATGGATGGCATTTACTAATGGCTTTCTTTTGATGTCTCTAACGTATTTTTCGAACTTCTTCTGATACTTCCTTTATAATTATAGCTGACTTGATTTACCCGGTATATTGTAGACCAAAGATATTTCGCCGAAGCAGGTTCCCTTTGCAAAAGAAATCATTGGACTCTCGTCATCTTCATCAGATAGTAATTCCACCACCCCACTGGTGATACATACCTAGGGCAGAAATACAAGTTTACCTCACTAGATTTTTAATCTGAACGAATTATATGTGTATGTAACCATTTACTGGTGTTTTTACCATAATAGTCTTGTTCTGGTTATGATTATAAACAATGTCACCAGGCAAATAGAATTGATGAGTCATGTTTAGGGATAGTCTTCTAAGGAATGCTTCTGGAAGCTGCCGAAATACTAAGGAACTATAAAGCGGAACAGCGTTCAAATCGTAACAGATTTCCATTTGTAAAGGGTATGGTAACAGTGCCAGCAACTTTGGTTTAAATACTCCCGACTTTTGATACCAGAGGTCTTCGTAATACCTTTTAGGGAAACAAAAAGTAAATTGTGTTATAACGTAAATATAATTAGGAAAAAACATTTTAAAAGAGTGTAACATTTACTCGCGTTTAAGCTGGTTTTTGTTGGAAACAACCTTCCGTTAGTCAGGAAATTAGTACCTTTGAAAGTTTAATACTTTCCAAAAGGTCCTAAATTCATTTGAAACGAATCCATCAATTAAATTAAATAACCCATATTCAAGTGTATCCTAAAATACTGTATTATACATATAGGTATACAATATAATTACCTTATTATTCTTTTTGTAGTTTCTGCATCCATGTTGATCAGTCTTAAATGATTCTTTATTTTTGTCAGTTGCCTGACATATTTTGAACGTCTGGTCGTTATTGTAATAAATTGCGAAGTCAAAGATCCCACAAATACAACAGTTGTAAGTAAAAAACCGACTAATATAGCCAATAAAGCTGTAAATCTTTCAACAGTTGTCACTGGATATAAGTCTCCCAAGGCATTCGTAGTCAGATACATCACAGACAAATACGTGCAAACGAAATACCAATGGCTTGTAAGCTCTGTCGGTAAGTATATTGCTGACAACGACCAAGATGATTGAATTTTGTGTACATCAAAACTTTTGTTAGCGAAAAGATACCATATACATGACCAGGTATGAACGGAAATTAAGAAGAGAATCAGATATTGAAATAGAAACGTAGTCCATTGATTGCTTCCTGCCTGAGATGATTTGTTGTAAAAATATTGCAGAATCCTGTAGATGCGTATTGTCGATATTATTGGCGCTATAGCGTGAAAATTGAATGCTAGTTCGTTACTGTTCAAAAAATATAGAAAGCAATACGGAAATACTAATATTACGTCTAGAACTACCAAAAATGTATTGGGCTCCATGAGATTTAGAGTTTTTCTCCATTTCTTAGAAAATTTTAAACCAACAATTATTACGACGTCAAAAACAAAAATTAAATTAAAAGAAACTAAAATCAAAATAGCCCAAAAAGGCCTGTCCTTGGGTTCGAAAAAGGAGTAAATTGTAGTATCTAATTTATAAGCAATAATGAGCGTAGCTAGTACAAATATTCTCCACGCAGAGTTAGAATATATTAGTAAGAGTGCTCTTGATTTGCTGTTATTGAATTCAGTTCGAGTTTCTTGTAATATGGCGTACGTCTTCGTACGCGTTTCTTCCGCAGTATTCTTTTTACTGTTATTTGAAACATTGTCTTCTTCTGGATATGCATATGAAGAACTTAAAAACTGGTTGTGTTTTGCTTTTCTGCGTCTATACTTATAGACGTCTAGACCCCCGTCATCTTGCGCTAAAGCAGACAAAAATAATATATTTATTTTTATTAATTGCTTATATAAGTAATATAAAGTCCTTACAAGTTTCCATTTTTTGTCGTACAGTATTCTGTAAGTATACTTCAAATCACTTATTATCTCTTATTTACTTAGTCAAAGTAATAATTTGAGTAATGAGATTTAGTTTAGAAGGTAGTTTCATTGAAGATATAGAAACTAGTAGGCCCAATTTATAACGAAATATATATGCCTATAAGAATAAAAATCAAAAGAGTTTACTACTAGTAATAGATAGAACTGTTTGGGTGGACGTCATAGCTTATGAGATTGATGTATTCTTTTGAGTAACGTATTCAAATTATAATCTACGTACGTACGTAATTAAATTGAATGAAAAGCGTATCACACAAAACACCTTCAGTTTAATAGTGACTTGATACATACATCGACATACATACAGACATCGCTATAATAAAAATAATATTGTAAAAATTAGGTAAATTTTAAGATTTTAATGTAATAGCTTTACAGTTTCTTGTGTCCACACCCCAACGTTTCATCTATACAGACAGTTATTTATATTTGACATGAAGTTGTATATTTGACATGAAAACTCTTTCACAGGGTTTGAAACGACACGAGAGTTAAGTTCAAACTCGTAGATGGAAAATATAGTGAAATATTAGGAATAGGTACAAGTACCTGTCATTGAATCTATTAGATATAATAAATGGTTTACGGGTATTATTTGCAGGTCAAACCGATATTAATACTGAATAAAACGATTGTACATATTCTCTTGTCAAAGATCAAGTTGTAAAGTTGGTGTGGTGACGTAATGTTTTCCTCGCTACAGAAATCGTAGGCCGAAAGCCGGACATGTAGACATCCAAGACAAAAGCTGTGCGCACGGCACTTCAACCCACATACATGAATATAAAATGTTGCGGCGGACTGACGCTGTATTGGTAGCACAGACTTTACTCATAAAAAAAAGATAAATTACCGATTTATTGGATTTTATGACTAGCTGTCGAACGATAATTATCTCAACAAAATATTATTGCCGAAATTCTGATGATTAACTTTAGTGTAGTTGCATGTTTTTGGAAATGTGTGGAAATATTTTTTTTTACTGTTGTTACACTTATTAGGTAAGGAAAGAGATGGCAGTTAAACTCAGTCGGAAAATTTCATCGTAATTTTTTATTTCTCACGGTAGAACTGCTTCGTGAGCGAAAATTTATCATTCTGGAAGAGGCTGTCGAGGCAAAAAACATTTTTAAATGTTTCAAAATCAGGTTTACCTGAATGTATAAGTGCATTTGGGTTGGAGGATCATATTTTGAAAATCTATAAATGAAGTTTTTTTTTAAATTACAAACCTTTTTTCATTTCACCAACACTTTTTAGAACAGCCCACGTATAAAGGTTGATGACATGTGAAAACAGGATAAATCTTATAAAGAAATACGTAAACATACTAAATCATTTGCAATGTGATGAACTCATTATTAACAAAGAATCGGCGCCATTAGTTTATACATCTTCGTATATTCAAGTTTCATAGCGCCTAGATAATTAGTGTCCGAGCGAGCTGCCATAGGCGGAGCGGCCGCATAATCACGATGCTTTTATGGTAGTCAAGCTCCGTGTATCGGTGAAAAATGTTGTCATAAAACGCTTTTAAATACTTTTAACATTTCACAGTACATTATTACTCTAAAGCGCCTCCTTGTTAGCGTACTCTGTGCAAGCAATGCTTATTTAAGGAAAAATATCTTCTAAATTGGTCGTCTTCAGAATGATGCATTTGCGACTGTAATGAATTTATAGTAATTCTTCCCTAAGACGTAATAACTTATTGAATTAATATCTTACTCAATGATTACTATATAGAACGTCTTAGTGGAGTAGAGCTAGAAGAGTGGTCTCTTTAAGCTCCAGGTTAAAACAGGCACGAAAAAGTAAAACCCTCTTAGTGAGTAATATAGTACAGGCCTTGAACAAAAGGAACGGTTCGTAAGTTTGACTGCACGGATGGCGTAGTGGTTTAAGCGGTCGCCACGCCGCTTCCTACTACGCCGAGTGTTGTGGGTTCAAACCCCACATGGGACGACACTTTGTGTGATCCACAAATTGTTGTTCTGAGTCTGGGTGTTTTTTGTGTCCGTTTCATGTATGTTTGTAAAGTCCCCCGCGACACAGGATTTATTCCTAATGCGGGAGTTGTCTTTTTTAAAAAGATAAAGATAAAAGTTATAATTTCTGTGAAGTATAGACACACCAAAGATAATCTATCTACATATATCCTGGTCATAGGCTAGGACCGTTGCTGAACATTTGGATACTACAGAACAATAAGGTACAATAATGTTTTTAGGAACAATTAGGTTGTTATGGCCATGTTGTAACAATACTTTCAAGACCGATATTTTTACTCAATAATGTAATGCATTAGTGTGCATGCTTTACATGTATAAGTAATAAAACTTTCAATTTAAAAATAATGGCGGAAAATAGAGCGTGGAACTTGTGTGCTTAATCCAGTTAATTCAATAGATCCACAAGAGCATCGGATAGGGGTCAATTATCCATTTATCCTTTTAACGGAATTGATAAAACGTAACTAACATGGGTGAGTTTAATTGATCCAATGTGCTGGCTTTGTTAAAAACAAATTTCGATGGTGAAACAAAAGTTTATTTCACCGTTTTTATCACCAATCCAGTTCTTAATTAAATGTTGTTATAGGTAATCCAGATCTTGATACGATATTAATTGTTATCAATATATATTACCAATGTATTATTACAGTACGTATATACCTACTAATTAAATATTTATTTTTGTTATCATATTTACAGTCGGAGATCTAAGGCACCGACAGGTTAATAATTTCCTGATAATGAGCAGTTTTTTGTCTCATGACTTCCGGTGACAAATCTCAGGTTGTCGGTACTTTTATCTAGTGGGATGCCAGCCAAGGTTCTGCTTTCCGCTTTTGTACCGTTCAATGTTTGGTACATTATTTATATGACAATCATCGTGATGTGAAATTCTGATTTCATTTCGACTACTTACCTACTTTTACTTTTATTTGCGATTTGGCGTTGATTGTAGACACTTTCGTAAACTAAAATGACGCTGGTTGGGGCAATTTCATTGTTAACATAAAAACTGCCATTAGCAACATACAGTAAACAAGATAACTAGTAAGAATGTGTATGGGTTGATCCACTCAATCCACATTTGTTTACAATCATTTCTGATTACATCAAGTAGATACTTTTTTAAGCGATAGGCAATATTTTAAATAACCTTAAATTGCTAATTATAATAATAATAATATTTTACCACATTCACACAACGCCATCTAGTCCCAAACTAAGTAGAGCTTGTACTATGGGTGTACTAGACAACCGATATAAATACATATATACTTTTTTTTGTAAATACATACTTATTATACATAGAAACACCCAGGCCAAACCAAACATTGAATGTTCATGCACACAAATGTTTGACTTCAGCGGGAATCGAACCCGCGACCTTTGGAATAGCAGTCCGTTACACAAACCACTACGCCATCCGGTCGTCAAATTATAAACTTGAGTTATGGCTGTAAATAAATAATTAAGCGATATACATTAGGTCTTACGGCAAGTAGGATTATACAATCCATATGTATATACGTCTCATTTTAATTGATAAAAGATGTTAAAATCTGCTCGTAGTTAGGTACCAAATTCAAATTGTGTGAATTTGAAGTTCGCTTTCGACCGATCGATTTCAGGATCGGTCTTCATCGGCCAAATTTTCCCTACCCAGATTATATCACACGTAGTCGTTACCATTGATTGCAATATACAAAACAATTTAGAAAATCTTAAGTAGGTGAGAATAGCTTTAATTTGTTTTATTGCGGTTTAACAGAAAACAGCTATTGTTCTGTCTCGGAGGCATCAATGCCTAAAGTTTGTAGTAAATGTACTTTACCTATTATCTCTTTGTAAAAAATAAATGTCTATTTTATACCACCTGAAATTACGTACCTACTTAATGTAGGTTTTAGAGAAACTCAAGGATATGTTTATTGCTGAGTAATCGTAGCTGCTTTATTTTTTAGACATATTGCGTAACTATAGCCTATAATAGTATGTAAAAATAATTTACTCTCGCCCACATCTCTCTGCTTCCTTTTATGTGAAGGGAGAAAAAAATAACACTCTCTAAACTTGACAAATTTGCGTAGGTTTGAATACAAAGGTTTACAATATTTATATATTTATGTCTGTGATTGGCACATTGCAAAATTAAACAATGTTATGTACCTAATTATTTTGAGTAATATTCTATAATATACTATACCTATGTACGTGTATTACATCCTTAATGCTTATTAAATCCTAATGCCTGATTATTAAATCTAAAACTTAAATTTCCCTTGTTTCTTCGAACTCGTGCAATATAATTTTTAATTTATAGAAATATCTCTCTATTCCTGTAGAAGCTTATTTAAGGTGACTATAATAAAAGTAGATTTCTTACAGGGAGGAACTTAAATATCTCGTGTTCTTTGATATAGATGGGAAGAGCCATTCTTAGGCACAAATGTGCCGGCACCTCCTCACAGAAATATGTTGTTAAGCAATTCTTTCGTTGCTTTCCACCGAATGAGTAAGTTACGGAGCCCGAACCTAAGGGGGGTTTCGGCACTAGTCCCTTTTTCTGGAAGGGGGAGGGACTCAAAGGGTGGTAACGCAATTGTGACTTCTAGTAGTCACTTACCATCAGACGACCCATCTGTGCGTTTGTCTATGTTCCCCTATACTATATGTTGCCCTATTCTATACAAAAATGCGATTTTACGATATTGGTGGTTTGTAACGAAATTTATACTAAATTCTCTTGTATTTTTTTTTTTTTTTTTTTAAATGTCAAGACAACGACAAAAATGTTTTAAATGTCAAAACAACAACAAATTTTTTTAACAAACTTCATCATAGTGGGGAAGCCTAAGTGAAGGTTTATTCGATCGTCATGGGGTTATTCCATATCAAAGATGTTTCCACTATCAGCACTTAAGAAAGTATCTACAAGTTTTCAAAAACGGAAGAGGAGAAAATAAAAAAATAAAAATTTGGGTGCATCAGTTATTTAGGGGATGTGTTAATTGGACGCTAAAAATGCTCCCATTCATAGGTCCGACGATTTGAAAGTGACACAAGTTCGTAAGCGGGTTTCGAAATATTCGAGCGTGTCAGATTTGATACAGACGGTTAAGTTTGATGTTCCTGTTGTGCTAGCCAAAAATCTGACTATAATTTTGCGAGGTATTTAAATCTGACGGTTAGAAATATATTTTTTTGCTTTTTTTTTAATTAAAGAAGATTTGAGGCGTTGTTTCCTTCAAAATAAAATAAAAGTATCCGAACTGAAGAAAAATCATGTGTAATTTTTTTTGGAACTTTGTGACCCTCCCACTGCCTTAACAAATCTCAAATCACGCTCATCAAATCGTCATTATTGATACTCACTTTTCGGCATGTTATTAACCCAGCTTACCTTAATCTTACACGCTCGAGTATTTCAGACTATCGATTTTTTTCCACTAATCTGGGCCTCAATTCTGCTATTTTATGTTCACGCCAAGCCACTGTCATACCACTGACACGCTACTCAACAGGGTAATAGGTATTCCTCCTTATGTTAATCTGCCGCGCTCTAGTAAATACCGAAATCCCTTCTAGGGATACCCTACTATTAGATGTAGGCCTTTTCAATTTACATTTTGCTGTATTTTGTTTTTAAGATTTTGCTTCTCAAATTAGGTAGGTTAATTTAATGGCCTAAATTTAAAATTAAATACAATATTATTTGTGTTTTAAAGGTACCTAGTTACTCTTACCGAGACAATGCTATTTTGAGTTCAAGTTTCATTTGTTTATTAATTTGTATGCCATAGGTAAAGTTAATAAAGTGTATATTTTTATTATCTTATTAGGTACGTATCCTATTTTATTATCGTGTATTATCGTATAATTTCGTTATTTTGGTGTGTTTATTAATTTACCTCTCTGTTAAATTTATCGGTAACTTTAAAATACAATTCCACTAATTGTTGTTTTAAAAACATAGGTAGTGAACTAGTTACAGTCATGTCAATTTATATAGTTGTAGTTGTAAATAGGTTACCTAGATGGCGACTGTGTCGCGTAATGTTCTGAGATGCGAGAGCAGTACAATTTGGGAGAACAATGTGGTGCGAGCGAGACCAGAGGCCTGTTATTATTTCGTCTGCACTGTGGACGGAGTCGCACGCGCTCACAAAAAATCCATTCGACAAGAGCGCAGGCGCAGCGCTATATTCGCCCACAACTTCACTTTAGTCAACTTCGTCATTTAGTGGTGATCGAAACTTCGATGTGTGTGGAAGTGAATTTAACTTTTCTAACATAATCTCACAAAAATAACAATAATTTGTAACTAAAGTACAATATCTTACTAGAACGTGTTGGACTAAACATTTAACGTGTCATTAGTTATATAAAAGTATTCAAAATGTGTGATAGTAACAGTCCTTCGACTCAAAGTATAGCGGACTACTTAGCTCAGTTGCTCAAAGACAGGAAGCAACTGGCTGCGTTCCCGAATGTTTTCATGCACATGGAGCGACTTCTGGATGAAGGTAGGTCAAAATTCTGTTAAACTATTTATAATTCATCGGCTACCCAGAGTAGGCACTAGGTCCTATCGTCGATGCTTGTCACCGAGGCGATCATAAATCGGATGCGTCGACAAATGCCACAACGCAAACGATATTAAGTTTATTTTTGTCTTCGCCCCGCCGAGTTATGGTCCAGTGATGTTTGTAATGTGATCCTTCATTTCGAAAAGCGAAGTAAAGCAGAACGTCTCTGCGTCGATTTGCGGTCAGCGGTCGTTAGATTGTCGCCGACGAGAGATCAGTGAAATGTATGTAGTAAACGAGTTTAGTGTCTACATTTAAGTGTCTCATTTTGCTGTCCACGCAGCTGTTGTAAATAAATCTTATTAGTCGCTTTATAGTTTTGAGGTTATAATGTAAAGAGGCGTGTGAGATGAAGAGTTAAAAATTCTGGGAGCATCCTGCTCACAGGGTTGTATTACATTCCACGCGAGTAGAAGGAATGTCGCCACTCTGTAGGTACCGTACCGACCGTACGGCCACCATTTCTTAGTCATACGAGATTTGTACAGAGCGCGGTGCAGGCGACCGCTCCTTCGCAACGTATAGCCTCGTTTTACACTACTCGTAACCAGTCTTCAGTAACTATGTAGCCCTTATCTGTGGTATTGAACGCCTGTTGAGTAGATTTGCTTGATGTTGGTAAAGTTATTCTTGACTTAATTTAAATACAGAATGTGTTCAAAAAGACTTCAGAAGGTACTTCTGTACTTATTGATTCGTCAATAAATTAATATGTTATATAAATATATCCATAATTAGACTGGTTTTTATTTGTTTCTGTTTTAACAATGGCAATCTAAAATAACGAAAAAGTAGTCCTTTCATTGTTGGTTTTTCATGACATCTTGTTGTCTTTACTACATAGGTAAGTCTATAGCGCCGAATAATTGTTATATTTTATGGTGTATCTGATAAAAGTGTACCTTCATAATGTTGTTTTAATAACGTAATACTGGTAGGAGCATATAGCTCTTTAAAAACTGGTTTCATACAACTTTGACACCATATAAGTGAAGGCCTTACTAGGCTAGGTGCCTGGGCAGTGGTACCTGCTATCTATGTACCTAAGTGCTAGTTAATATTAGAAGTCGGTACGGTCGTTTTCTTACTGTAACTTACGAAATTAAGGATAAGAATATAGGCATCTACCTACTTAGAGTAAATTGTGAACTTCATTTACCTACTACACAGGTCATGTACCTATGTGTACATTAATAATACGGTAATAATCGTACACCTTTAATTTACTTTCTTATTATAACAGCAAATACCATCGAGTTGAATACTCGCATTGTACCCTTGTTTTGAAAAACAATGAAAAATAATCTAGTCTACGAGGAAACATATACATACATATGTCCATATCAATAGGTGGTTATTTTAAAACAATATTCATACAAGACTATCTAGTCATGTAAATTCTCACAAGCGGCAGTGAATTCATTGAAAGACGACGTGTTACTTTAAAACACATAATAAACCCAAGTCACGTCCCGTTGCAAGGCAAAGTCTATTCTACCGATACCTCTACATGTCATAATGTCGCAGCAATAACGATTTACTGTTAAGTGTTAGTCTCTGGGAATATAGATTTGTACGTCAATGTAAGGCAGAAAAAGTTTAAAATCTCCTTTAATGAAACTTTTCTTCACCCAATATTTGCATAAATTGCTGAAGTATTCATTTGAATATTCATTATAAATTATATTCAACTGAATATAACAAACATAGAGGATCGTCTGACTATGTCCCGAAGTCCTTGGTCGTACTTATGAACTAATAAGATTGTTCTAGTAATTAAAGAATGATGTGATCTCGTGATGACTGAAAAAAAAGTTCCATTTTTTTCTCTCTAAATTGTTATGTGGCAGTTTAATGCTTATTGCCTTAAAAGCATTTTAACACGTGCCCCAAGAAATTTTTCTTGCATTATCCTCTAAACGTGTTGACTTAACTTTTTCGAGAAAAAGTCAGCGCCCTCTACTTAAGGAATGACTCTTTAATTTGGTTTTGATAAGATTGGTAAGGTTTGAGTCACCCGGTCACCAGATTGAGAAATGTCCAGTTTGTTCAGCTTCGTTAATATTAGCAGGTCGTTCTTTTTGAAGTTCTTGCTCAAAGACTGTTACGGATCTAGGTTGAACGACAGTAACTTTTATGCTTTATTTGACGTGTCGCGCCGGTCGACCGTATACGCTGACGACTTGACGAAAATATCGACGGCAAGCTGACAGCCGACAGGCGTGGCGTATCGCGTTACGTCGAACTAAGAAATTACGGAGTCTATTTTGGTTGGACGCTGGAATATTAGGCATATGAGAAAAATATTATAAAATAATTATGGACAAGGCGCAATTTGTATGCTACTAGATTGGGTACTTAACACCTTTTCGCACTGAAAACCAACATGTGCATAGTATATAAAACAAGTATATACCTTGTATGCAATATATTAACATTTTTAATAAAGGTGGTTACTAAAAGGCCATGTTTAGACTTAAAGTTCAAATAGTACAATAGACATAAGTTGTTGTGATGTCTGCATTAGGCTGACATTTTATAACATGCAACATTTGACGGTTAAACAATATCGACTGATCAGTGTTTACATATTGAATCGACTATTTGATTGTTTGCATTCCATGAAGAACAGTGAGCATCACTAGATAACAATGCTCCATCAAAAGTAAACATACAAATTCGTCAATCAAAACATTCGATACAAATAAAGATAAAACATATTGGACATGTATTACAAGATTAACGAGGCATCAATGAAGCATCGCGTAGAAATGTTATCATGTCTCTGATATGTATTATTATAGTGGATACTTCATACACCAGTTGTAATACTTGATTTGCAGATTAAACTACGATAAAAGATAAAAATGAGTTTAACAGCCTTAAGGAATTGTTCTTATCGGCGATATTGGATAAGAACACTTTGAGAATGACAATTACATGATTCGTTAGAACTACCTATTTGTTCGTTTGTCTTCTAAAACCTGAAGTTGCTGGTGACACAAAATTGTTAAATACAAGGCCTAGTGACCCTATTTAACCGAATTACAACAAGTATTACCTACATAGTCAAGAATAAAGTTATTGAGTTCTGATGCGTAGGCGCCTTCTACTTTTGATGCGGTCGGTTCCGCAACCCTGTAGCAAAAGTGACTCTTAGTTGGGTCATTATAAGGTTGTTTAGTATGTGATTAGTCGGGTGCACCCACGTCGATGACCAAATGAGGGTAGCCGTGGGTAGCGTGGAGGTGTAGAAGCCAAGGCTGTTCCAGTCGCTCACCGACACGACCAACAATTGCTGTGGGTTGCTTAATTGCAGATATTCAAAATAGTCATCAATGTTATATTATGCAATCAATTTTAAGTGTCAACCAACGTTACCCCAATCAATCTCATTTAAGGTGTACATGCTGTGTTTTTATAATTTATTTAATATATATTGTTTTAGTTTATGATTAATTTAAACAGTCGCTTTCATGTAATAGTTACGTTCATTAGCTAGGATCGACTTTCAATAATATTAGAAATGTTAAGGTTAGTATATTGTTTAAAAGAAAAACAGTGTATTGAAATTGTAGGTAACGTAAATTAAATGAGGTTAATATAGATTTTATAAAAATACTTACGTTCTCACTTACTTTGTTTACTCGGTAGGTAAGAAAATGTTACTGAAAGCAAATATTGACACACGGCTCATTATCGCGCCAACCTCGATAAGGCTTCACTATATCTTTGTAGAAAACTGGATTATATGAGACGCCTATTCTTCACTGTTGTTTCTCACGACGTTGGCGCTACGTACCTTCACTTTATCTTATAAGACGTGATCGTTCTGCTAATGAGAAATCCTTTTTTCTACGGCCGTGAAAATCTACGTACTTTTAAAACTTTATAACAGTTGCTTACCTGCTGCAGGTATGACATTGCATAGTTCATATCATTAAATTAAATAACAATAATTTTTTAGGTTTTAAAATACCATTTTACGGCATAAAAACGCAATCTATAATCAACTACGGCAGCCTTAGACTTGTTAATGAAAACCGGATGACTATCACACTTATTATACTTACTTAAAGCCACTAAAGTCTGCAAAGAAAATACTGTGTGGATTGTTTAGCGGAGGATTGTAACTTGAAATGAAAATCGATCTCTTCAGAATGACGAGAAAACCAGTCCTGTGGGCGAGGTGAAGCCTACGCATAGTACCTACCGACCAATCCCTCTAGCATCACTTGCATTTCGGCGTCGTAGTATCACTATCATACGCACCTACGCATGTTTTATGTATTGGATAGTTAATTTTGTTTTTATTTTTCCTATAGGTTCATTAAATTAGACAACAATAAATGTAACTATTGATGAGTAGTTAATGGTAAACTTAAAAAAGTTTGGAATGACTTCTGTCGTTTCTTTTATCACGAAGAGTAGTTCCAAAGTTAGGTAACCTTCTTAGTTCACACATATATCTTAGATATATGTGAACACACTGTATGCTATCTCTTTATAAAGCGTTTACGGTTTACCATACCTGAATATTCAGTAAGCAAGTTTGTAAAACGAATAGAAATAAGACAGATTGCTAACTGGTATCTAAACACAAAGGTCGGAGTCAAAGCGTGGGAGCTGTCAACCCACGACCAGAGGTAACCTGGGTGGACTTGTTTCACTTAATTGCGGCCCTCGACGCCTACGGTATTGCTAAAAGGGAAGACAATCGTAACCGGTCACCAAAACACGTAAAACAAATTGACTAATCATAAACAACTATATGCTCAGGTACTTTCAAGGACAAGTTCTAGCTTTAAAAGTCATGAGTTTAAATACTAAATAGCAATTGATAAATAAGCAAAGAACTTCCCTTTGTCGGACCTTCACATAATCCGGCGGATGTCTTTTTTATCTCTTTCAAACATAAAATGTGGGTGTGTTGTGTG